TGGTTTTTAGGTTTTCCCTGTTAATGGTTGATAATCAGATGTGTTCAACCCCAGAAATAGATAAAAATTTAAAAAAAACTGGACTGTTTAAAATGGAAAAAATTAGCAGCAAAAAATTAAAATATTTACCCAAAAATTAAAAGAAAATTTCAAGTTATTATGTCACAAAATAAGGAAATTTATAGGTTGGTAAATTATACATACACATTTTTTTGTAAGTAAAAGAGAAAATTTGAGCAGGATCAGGATTGAGCACCATTTTTTAACAAACCAAAATAATTTGTATTTTTTCAAAAAAATTAAAAAAAAATCCTCGGAAAAGTTCAAAAGGCACTCAATCACACAAAATTATAATTTTTTAAATAAAGCGTTAATTTGTTGAAAAAAAAACACTGGTCACACACACACAAAAAAGTGAAAGAACACATTAATTCTTTTAATAAGGCATTTAAATATTTTTAAATTTAAACTGGATAGCAACGGATTACATCAACTTTAAAAATTAAAAAAAATTATTTTAATTAAAAAATAATTTTTACTTATAGGAGTTCGACAAATAGGACAATCTCCAGAACGACGATGTGTTTCTTTAGCACATGGAAAGCACCTAAAAAAATTTTTTTAAATTGCAAATAGAAAATTAAAGTATTAAAAATATATATGTAAGTATAGCTTACATGCACATATGCCCGCATCGATAAATAACCTGAAAAAAAAAGAAATTTTCATTGAAAGAGACTCATTATTTTTTGGAGTTTGAAATTAATTCTGATTTCTATTCTAATTGTAATTCTGATTAAAAAAATAATAGTAATTAAATTCCGAGTCCGATCCGGGGATAGAGTTCCGCAACCGGTAATCTGGAAACCGGGTGGTTTTTAGCCTAAAAAATAAAAACCAGATAACGATCTGATCAATTGATCTAACCCTACTAGTAATCCTGATTTTTTAATTGTAATTGTTATTAAAATTGAAATGATTAAATTTCAATTTGAATGGTTAAAAAAATTTTTCAATTCAGAAGTTTACCGCATTAACACGATTCGTCATACAAATTGTACATTCATTGTTACGATCTCCATCTTCAAGTTGTATTGCAGCATCCGCATCATTATTATTATTATTTACAGCTGTTGTTGTTCCACCTTCACCACTATTTTGACGATTTCCTTCTAAAAGAGACCGCCGATTTGGTGAATGATCACTTGATAAACTCGAAGACAATGCTGCTTCAAATTCAGCTGCACGATTTCTTAAATTTTGTTGTTCGTTGGATGGAACGTTTAAAGAAGAGAAAAGTGGGGCAGGAAGTAATGGAACCTTTTAAAGAGAAAAAATTTTTTAATATCAATTACTTTAGATAAAGATCAATTTGTGCCGACCCGGATTGTGCCGGATTGACTGAAAAATCGGGAACTAAAATCCCGGTTCACTAGTCGTGAATTTATTTTTTATGTCAGCAACGCTTCTTAATAATCACCAAATACATATTAGCTACAACACTACTCGAGTTAGTCTTTAAATGTTGGTTGGCTATTGGGGAGGTGGAGAGTGCTGCCTACATGAAACTATTCATTTTAAAGTTAAAAATATCCCTTGTTATAAAAAATTATTTGAGCCTCTGGAGTGTTTTATAGCCAAATCCGACTACTAGTCCGACTACTTCAAAATCTCTCCAAAATATTTCCTTCAAAAATAATTTTTTCAAGAATTCAATTCACCGTAATTGAAGCACCCGAATTAGTAGTTGTTGGAGCATTAGGAAATTCAAATAAATTAGCAGCAGCATTGTTACTATTATTTCCTCTTTGATTATTATTAATTGGTCTAACAGGAGAACGTGAATGATTTTGCATTCTTTCTCTTTGTATTTGTCTATAATTGTTGATAAAATCATTTACTGCTTGAGATGAAGATTCAGAATTATTAGTAGAATTATTCCCTCCTCCTAATAATGTTGAAGTGTATGGGGATGAAAATAAAGGAGTTGAATAGGCTGATGGAGAATTTGTTGAAGAAGAGATGGCTGATGTTGTTGTTGCTGCTGTTGAAGCTAAATTTATTGAAGAATTTGCTTCTGCTAATAAATCAGCTTGTTGTTGATTAAGACGCCGTAAAGTGTTGGCTACACGTAAATTTGTTAAATCTCTAGGTTCGTGTAAAGAATAGGAAGGAGCTGAAAATGATGGGGTTGAAGTTGTATTTTCTGATAATGCTGATGCTGAATTTGTTGTTGTTGAAACTGCTGCTGATTGGGTAGGTGGAGTAATGCTTAAAGGTTCGGGAAGTGCTACACGTAGAGATTCCTAAAAAAATAATTTTGGGTCGTTGGCTACAGGACGTATAGACAGTGAACATTTGGACTCCCGTAGTAGGGTTGTTGGTTCGGAACCGAACCAAAGAACTGAGGAATTTTGGTTTATTTCTCGGTTGGTTCCGGATATCCGAAGATTTTCCGAGAACCGACAACTTTATTCCCGAGTGTCCATCTCCTATCCACCCCCCATGCCCATTTGTCAGGACAAATTTTGAGTTTATCAAATTAAATTTTAAAATATAAAAACCATATTCCATTGTGCAGAAGACGGCCTACTCAAACGCGTTGTAGGTGAAATGTATAAAGAAGTGTCATTGGAATCACCATGAGCAGAAGCTGCACCTTCAGATGAAGCACGATGTCCCCGCATTGCTATATACTCTGCTGGACTCAAAGGTTGATCAAGATCTTAAAAAGAACGATTTTATTAAAATATAATCTTAAATTATAAAAACAGACGTGATCTATACTTTTGGACTTGAAAATGCTAATTCAATAACAGTTTCTATATAAATCCTACTTAAAATTTTTATTGGATCCATATTCAATGGAATCATAAAATTCGGTTTGGACTCCTAATCTTTTATTGAACTTGTAAATCTTCATGGGCCCCATAGATTAGACAAGAGCCATTTTATAAAATTTTTAACTTTAAACAGTAACGTGAGTAAACATGGTCGAGGTATCGATCTCAATTCTCACACAACCCTCACACAATCAGTCCGGTCTCTAGTCATGTTTACAAAAATCTTACAAAACCCTAGCATTTAATAATAAAAAACATACCCAATATCTGAATTTTCCTTGTGCTTCCATAGAGATCAAAGAAAGCCCAAAGTGGAATACTTACATCAACATGCATTATCACTCTAAAAGGAGCGTCATTTTTAGAGAAAAGAACTCTGCCTATAAAAACAGATTGAAATATTTAAAATAAAATTTAAAAAAAACCTGTACAATCCACTTTAAAGTTAAGTGTAGTACCAACTTGAGGGCTTGCCCCAACGTCTTTAATACAAACCCAATATTCCGGGCGTTCAAGTAATTCATCGCTATCAGCAGGAAGACGAGAAGCGGGGACTTGGTCAGGATCGCTTTAAAAAATTTTTTTTTAATTTTTCTAAAAATATTAAAAACACCAGCTAGTTAATCCAAAAGCTAAACTGCCAGAAAAAGCATCTTCTGTCATACTGACCAAAATAACAATTTTTTCTCCAATTCGAATAGGGCGCTCAGTGAAGACATAACCCAAATACTTAAAAATAAAAAAAAAAATAATTTTTTAAATAGAAGAAAATATTCTTTACATATTCTCCATGTTTTCTTACTGCAGTTGTACCATTATTTTGTATAACAACATTGTTGCCTTTAATAGAATGAAAACGAAGTCTTGCATCTAGAAAATAGACTTTTTTAATTTTAAAATAAATTTAACAAATGAATTCTGATTTTTTAAATAAATATATTAATAATAATTCTGATTATTTTAATGAATTCTGATTAATTATTCCGAGTATTCTGCTAAATTCTGATTATTCTAACTTTTATAATTCTGATTTTCATAATTAAATAATTACAATTCTGATTTTAAAAAATTAATCAGAATATTTAATTATGAAAATCAGAATTTATTAGAACAACAAATAAAGCTAAAACACAAAAATTCTGATTTGTAAATTCTGATTACACATATATCAATAAATACTTAAATTCTGAAATTTAAAAATGAAATACATTCTAACAGAATTCTGAAAATCAGAATAGATTGTTAATTCTGATATTTTAATTCTTAATCAGAAGGGAGAAAATACAAGAAAACACAAACAAATAAAAATAATTCTGAAATACCCATAAAAACAAAAATACAAGAAAACACAAACAAATAAAAATAATTCTGAAATACCCATAAAAACAAAAATACAAGAAAACACAAAAACCAGAATCTAAATTGTATTTTTAGATTAAAGAAGGAAGAGAGAAAATACAGGAAAACACAAAAATACAAAAATAATTCTGAAATGTCCATAAATACAAAAAATACAAAAAAACACAAAAATCAGAATTTTAATTGTATTTTTAAATTAACAAAAATACCTCTATTATTATTATTATTATTTGTTGGCGGTGTACTAGAAGCAGTAGAACGAGAAGTCGTTGAATTTCCCACATTTCTCAAATTTTGTGTTGATCTCGAACTTGTCATTGCCTCTGTATTTGATGAATTTACAGGATTAGAAGTTGGTGAAGTAAGTGAACAGCAAGCATGGAGAGGTGTAGGAGAAGAAGGGAGAAGTGCTCTCCGTTCAAGGTGGACCTCGGCAGGGTCCAAAATTAAAAAAGAATAAATCAGAAAAAATTATTTTTAAATAAAAAATGGGAGGGTAACCTGTCTAAAATGTTGCCCCTTTAAGAATTTTTCTAATTATTTTAAATTTATCTCATGTCAAAGATGAAAGTACCTTCCAAACAGAAATGCCCCGGGTAAAGAAAAAATCAAAAAAAATTTTTTTCTGAGGTTTAGGATTTTCAGGTTTAGATTTTTAAATAACCTGTGACATCCCTGATTCCTACTACAAAAATCAAATTAATACTGGACCATCACCCCAAAAAATTTTTTATCGTAAATTTTTATGAGTACCCAGTTCTCCCTAAATCTAAAAATCAATCTCCCTCATTAAAAATATTAAAAACAAAGGAAATCCATACCAACAAATTCAACAGCTACAGAATTTCCATAAATATCAACAATTGTCCACAATGGAGAATTTACATTTATTCCACTCAAGAAAAGTCCTTTATGGACTCCATTTACTCCATAATGCATTTCTCCACTGTCATTAATGAAAAAATGGAGAATTAAGCCTTGGACAGAGACTAAAAAATAGAAATTAATTTTAATAAAAAAATAAACTTTTACATCTCTCAGCAAGTGATTTAGCCCAATAACCGCCTTTTGAAGTTAAATCGGGGCAGGCAAATCTGAAAAAATTTTTAAAATAAATTTTGAATTTTTGAAGGAATTTGGTATTAGGTCGCGCAATAATTAGCCGCGTATTTTTTCAATCATATTTTTCAGAGTGTAATTTTACAAATATTCTTTATTTCTATTACTCAACACAAAGCTCATACTCTGCTCTTCATTTTAATACCAGATATAGCTAAATACGGGTGATATTCATAAAGTTATGATTTTTTGAACTTCACTACCTTGTAGTGAAATTCATAAGCATTTACACCAAAAATTATAAATTACCAAAAATGGACACAAGAAGCAAAAAATCTTAATGATCTAGTCAATGAGGTCGTTGTCTATGCTAGACAGCAAAAAATAGGGTTCAGGCTATAAGAGGAAGGCCGTATGACTCTCAGAAGCAAACATGGTCGAGGGAGACAGGTGTCATAAAAAAACGGTCCTGCTCGGCCAGCATAGATGAAATCCCATTATTTCTACTGCTGAATTATCGAGGAATATCTGCTCTATACATACAGCAAAGCTTGACTGAAAAAACGCAAGCTGCGCTTAAAGAGAGTCCTCTTTCTTTCTCCCCAAATTTTTTCCTATTTATTTAAAAATGGTCAAACTTTTTCCTTTCTTCCATCCCAATTGCCTTTATATATTTTGTCCTTGCGAAAGAATGGAATAAAAAATAATTCGTTTAGATTGTTTGTGGCAATAAATAGAAAGGCAATTGACATGGACGGAGAAAGTCTGCCCATTCTGTACAAATATAGGAAAAAATTTGGTAAAGAAAAAGAGGCTGGAGACGTCCCTATTACCAGGAATTTTAATAAAAAATAAAAAAAATAAAAAGAAAATACAACTTTGGAAGTTCAATGTCACGGAAGCTCGCAGGATCAACGTTCGTCACACCAAACCTAAATGAACCATTTCTAAACCAAACAATGAACTTTACAATTTTTTAAATTTTAATAAACTATTTTTTGATAATTTTTGGATCCAAAAAATAACAGAAATTCTAAGTTGAATATTCTTTAAAAATTTCTTTTATTTTTTTGCATTTGTGGACAGCAATTTTTTGACTGCGAAGAGTTATGATAGAAAATAAAGACAAACAAAATATATGTTTCAGGATATATTTTTCAGTTTTACTTTAGCAAAAAATAAAAACAGAAAAAAATGGAAACCAAGTTCCGAAAAATTAAGGTTGCCAAATTTATCAAAAAAAACCACCCAATTTTCGAATAATATTTTAACGAGAAATTTTTTAGAAATTTTTTAAATTAAAAAATCTAAACCTCATAACCCCCGACCAATTATTCCCAACTTCACATAAACGAATACACACAATTTCTCCAATACCAATGGGTCTATTACTGAAGGCTAAACCTTTGCAGAACGATTCCCGTCGTTTAGCAACCCTTCCATCTCGAAGTAAAATTATGTTGGTACCACAAATTGAATGGAACCTGTGAAATTATTTTTAAATTTTTATGGGTCTCCTAAATTAAAAAAAAAATAAAATGGAAAGAAACTGAAATTATAAATGACCCAAGACCATTCAGAAATTTTTGTTAATTGTGCTAGTATAAACTTGATTGCGTATACAACCAATAATGTAACACTAAATTGCCTCAAACTTATATTTCAACCGATAAAAATTTTTTAATTCGTCCATAACTTCACTCTAAATTTACTTGGACTCGGATAGTCTCCAAGTCAGCTGATCAAAATAAACACATTTTTAAACAACTTAAACAGGACTTATTGTTAGACTTTTATTTAACCCTAAAAAATATCCAAAGGTCGGGTATCCATGAGGAAAACAAAATCTAAGAGCCTTACAATTAGTCTACCCAAAAATAAAAACCTTTCCCAAAAACAATCAAAAATCTAATCAACGATTTATGTGAAGAAAAAATAAAAACTCCAAAAAATCATGTAAAAATCACTCACTTCAACTGAGGTTTAGGACTGACAATAGTTCCTCTATTAATTGTAGTTTCGTTATAATTTGGAAAATTCTCATCAAAAGAAAGGGCTGGAGAGTCGTCTAAAAATTAGAAAAAAAAATTCTTAAAATTTCAAAAAAAAACCTTCAGAACAACTCCTCCCAGTATTTTGTCGACATTCTGCATTCCCCATATTTTTATAAATTAATTTAATTAATTTATCTAAAAACAAAATTATTGACAGCTGAAATCGTTAAATGCAAGAAACTTTTTTATTTAGCGAAGAAAAATAAACGGGACACGCCCAATTAGGCGCGCGGCCATAACGGCGTAGAGCCATAACCTGCTTCAAGATTTTCGAATCTTTCAAAATTTAGTATTAAACGATTCCTCTCATCGAGCTAAAGAGATTGGTATCAAAATTGGTAAGGTCCAGGAATTTTCCAAAAAGTTGCGGCTTTGCGCCGTTATGGTCGCGCGCCTAATTGGGCGTGTCCCAGAATAAACAAATAAAAATTTCAAAGTGGTAAAAATTCATTTGGGTCAGTTTATATTGGTCTCTATTCTTTCTTAATTTTTCAGTCGAGAAAGTTTAAGAGAAGGAGAAAGGGAACTTTTCTTAGGTTAAAGAAGAGTTAATCTTTGTGTTGGTTATTAAAATTAATTTTTATAAATTCTGAAGTTTTTCCTTGTTCTCTCTATTTGTTTTTCTGTTTTTTGGTCAGCAAAACCTGACTTTTACTTTCAAGTTTAATCAATAGGTAAAGTAAACGAAAATTATTTTTACACGTCAGCCGATCGCTTTCTTAAATGATAGATTAAATTTAAAAAGACTTAAAAATTCTGGTTAAAGTGTAAATTTAGATCAGAGCTGCCCTAAACTGACAATATTCAGAAATCATGTTTGTCTTTGAAGTTTTCTTAGTTAGTCAACTGCCGTATTTTTTTTCGACTGACCGTATCCAACAAAGGAAACAAATTTTTCTCTTAACGACCAAAGACTTTAAAAAAATATTAAAGATTTATAAAAATAAACTAGTGAAGATGACCATCAAATTTAAACAAAAAAAAGAGAATGATGTCATAAATAAAAATACCCCGAAAAATTATAGTAACTAACAAATAAGAGGCTAATTGATCTTTCGTCTCCCCCAAATTTGATTTCAAAAACTTAAAGCCTTTTTTCAAAAACTCAAAGCCTTTAAGCTTCGCTTATAAGAAAAATTAAAGGATTTTTAAGACTAAGAAACGTAAAAATAATTAATATAAAAATATATATTGAGTAATGCAAAACACGAGTAAAATCATCAACTAGGTCGATAGTTTTTTTTTTTAGTTGATTGTACTAAAAATCACAACATATGACTCTTCTCTCATCTTTTCCCCTAATCGCCGTTAGCACTCAAAAACTAAAAAGCTTTTGTTTTGGGTTTTTTTTCAGTATTTTTGGCGTTTCTTTGCTCAATTTCTTAATTTTTTTGTTTCTAATTAAGTGATCAAAAATGATCACTAGTCGATGGGATTTTTAAAGATTTTGTGTTTAATAAATGAAAAAATGATGATAATTTGGATATTGAGTTTTTAAAATTGAAAAAAATAATAAGGCGATTATGTATAATTAAAGGGACCGACTAAAGATTAGACCGATGGCATATTCTAGGCAAGCACTCCACAAACTTGAACGACTAAAAATATTAAATAAGTCGAGGTTGGTTTTCCTAGTTGGTTTCTTAATATCCTAATATAAGCCCTGGGCTTATATTTTTCAATACCCCCTATCGGGTGGTCTTCTAATAGGGCATGGGCTTCTATTAGGATATTTACGGTATATGGGGTTTTTAAAAGGCCGCAAATTTTATTTTATTTGGTATTCCATAATAACATAATTACCGTATTTTCTCGGTTAATTCCCCCGGGGAATTATTTTTTCAACCCTTCCTTGGCATGGGGAATTAATCGAGGGAGGGGAATTATTCGAGTTTTGGCAACATACAGTAGGGCATTTGTTGGTGGCGAATTATTGTTTCAACCAGACCCTAGCATGGGGAATTAATCGAGAGGGGGAATTATTCGAGGGAGGGGAATTAAACGAGAAAATACGGTAGTTAGGGAGGGGACTAACTGAAGATTAGAATGTAGCATATTCTAGGCAAGCACTCCACAAACATGAACAACTAAAAAAATGAAAGAAGTCGAGGTTGGTATTTCTAGTTGGTTTCTTAACCTATGATGGTCTCTTAAAAGGCGCAAATTTTATTTTTTTGGTCCCTCATTATTTATCCCTCATTATTTAGGGAACCTTCATTATTAAGGATCCATCAAACTTTCTTAGATCACACACTTTTCTAAAATGGGAGATACGAAAAAGATATTAATTAAAAATATTTACTGAATAATACTCCAAAAATGGCAAGAAAAATAAGAAAAAGTGAATTCAAATAGCTTTAAATTAATTAACCTTTTTATATTTGGGAAAATTATAGAGTAAAAAGGGGGGACACTCTATTAGAGGGGGCCATTCTAATAGAAGAAATACTGTACATGTATTCATTTATAGTATATCTTCAAAGCTCTATTGGGATTCTCTTGTAGTTGTTAGTAGAGTTGTACCCCGACCCCGTACCCCGAACCCCGACCCCGTTCCCGAACGATTTTTTCACGATTCTCCCCGACCCGAACCCCGCCCCGAAACATTTCGAAAACCCCGTACCCCGACCATAAAAGTTTCGGGGTTATCGGGGTTTTATACACCCAAAAAATGCCATTTTTGTGAGAATTTTAAGAGAAAAATTTTAAAAATTTCCTCACAATTTACTTTGCCTTTATTATTTTTGAAAGAAAAATGAATGAAATATCAAAATTTTCTTTCATTCTTAATTAAGAGACTTGTGGTTGAGTGGCTTAGTTGTTGGCTTTAGCCTATATTTCCATTAATATAGGATTGGGTTCGGATCCATATAAGGAGAACTCTTTTGTTTTTATATTTCTTTACAAAAACAAATTATTAACGAGTTAAATTTTAATTTTAAAATATTAATTTTATTTTTAACTGATATCCCTTGAACGACCCTTAATCCTTCAAACCCCTTGTATCACCAGTAAGGGGTTCCCAACCATAACAGTTGGAAAACTATCGAGGTCCTGTTAACGGGAATCAGAGATATAAAGGAATTTGTAGTATATCGAAGAATTAAGGAGTTATAAAGGGATTTAAAGGGATATAAGGTTTAGATTAAAATGGATTTGAAAGAATTACGTGAATTTAACGGAATTAAAAAGGAATTCGTGGGAGATCTAAGGAATTCGTGGGAGATCTAATTCGTGGGAGATCTAATTTTCCCTAAAACCCCGTACCCCGACCCGAACCCCGGTCATATTTTGCTCCCCCGACCCGAACCCCGCCCCGAAACAATTGGAAAACCCCGTACCCCGACATACCCGCCCCCGAACGTTCGGGGTACAACCCTAGTTGTTAGTTGTTCTTGTGCTTTTCTTCTACCTCTCCCAATCGTAGGGGTATTCGTTTACCCCTTTATCCATCATCGCTGCCTTGAGAAGATCATAATACTAAAATTGAATTTGTTTGTATAAGTGCATTTAAAACTCACTTTGATATTTTGGAGTATCGTAATAACTCAGAGTAATCACGTATTGTAGAATAGCTAAAATGACGTGAAATATTATTTGTATTCAATAGGTCGGGTCTGCAGGTGTCGTGACACGGTTAAAGAGATATAGGAAGATTTTGAGAATATAAAGAAAATCAGTGCAGAAATTCGACTTTTTCAGTGCCGCAGGCGAAAATTTTGAGAATTTAGAATAGCTAAAGGTCAAAATCCTGCTTTTTATAAAAATACGAAAAAATTGAAAGATTCTAAAACGAGGTCCGGGTCCCAAATCCGATACAAAAAAATTTCCCAGATCCGGATTTGTAACTAGAGCCGGACCGGATTCTTCCGGATTCTCCGGATTACTCCGGTCCGGGTTTAGTACGGAAATTTCAAGAACACGGATTTGGGGCACGGACTCTGGAAAATCCGGCTGGAGTCCGGTCCGGCGCCGGTCCTACTCTTTATTAATTTAAATGCTCAAAGAAATTTTTATAAAAATTTTCAAACATTGCTAATATGAAAATCAAAATTTTTAAAATCGATTTAATAATTTCTAAACACACCATAAATATTAATTTAAAAAATATTTTCCATACAAATTAAAGCTACCAATTGCCTCTCATCATTACCCTATCATCATGCCCGTACATATTCACTGTCACATGAAATACTCATCACATGAAGCTGCCATGTTTTCAATTGTGAATAATCTAAACTTGCGTTGGATGCTTTTTAGGTAAATAAAAAATGAATTTTTAAAACTATATTTAGAAATTCTTGCTTGATAAATTAATTTTTAAATTTAAAAGCTTTAATTTTTATTGCTGTTTAAATAAAACAATAAATTTTAAAGATCCCAAACAATTTTAAGGTTTTTTGTATTTTGTTGTTTGTACAAAAGCCTTTAAAAACGATTTTTTAATCTGAATTGGCCATATCATTTTAAAATTTTATTTAATAATTTTCTTTATTATCTAGCAAAAATAATATTAATTTATCTGAGTAAAATAAAATTCTGAAATTACCAAATAAAATAAATTTTAATTAAACCTTGGCATGAAAAATGTTTTTAGATTTTTCAGAAATTCCCATCAGCGAACCAAATTTCCATTATTTGGTATCAGCAATTTTCTTAGTGTCGGGAATCCAGGAAAGAAGATATAATTCGTTTAATACCGGCCAGGACCCCCGATATTGCTAACCCTAATTTAAATGTAGCTCATTTGATAGCCCATTCGTTCAAAATTTTCACAAAATTTCGAAGAGATGTTTTCTCGATCCTATATATTTATACTCAAGTGGTTACAGGTTTTGAAGAATTTCAGGGAATGAAACGGGAATTCTAGACAATTAACAATTATCGCTTTAAGAGAGTCGAAACAAACCCTCCCCAAATAAAAATTATTTTCAGAGATTTTCTAAATTCTAAATAAATGTCTTCAATTAACCTTTTCCTTGTTTCAATTTTTATTTTATTTCAATTAATTCACACTAAAGATTGTAGTGACCATGGGGTTAGCTGTAATGATAGAAAATGCTGTGGTAGCTTATCTTGCAAAAAAACCAACGTTAATGGTAACTATTATTGTTCTTATGCTCCTTGTGTCGCTGATGGAAACACATGTCAAAAAGATGATGGTTGTTGTAAAGGTATGGATGGTAAAGACTTTTCTGTTTGAAAAGGAAAACTTAGTACGGTCATAGCTAAGTCCTTAAAATAACGGAAAAATCGAGATTTACAACGATGACTCTTAAAAGACACTCGTGTGTAAATACATCAGGGTACGGAGTTTTCATGTTGGCTACGGGGAGGGGGTGGGGGTTCAAAAAATCCTCCTGTTATTTGAACAACATCCCACGTTGTAACAAACAAACAATGTCCCTCAGCCAAAATGACCCCAGTGCGAATTTTTCTCAATGTTTTCGTAAGGATTATATTTTTGGTAAGAATGTGTTATGTCGGACTATATTAGCCTGACACGCCTTCTAGTGCACGAAAATCCGAGCTACATAAGGTGTCAAATAATTTTTTCGACTTCTACAGATTCAATATGTGGTACAGGAAATGTATGCGTAACATGTGATGGTCAATCTTGTGCCAGAGACGATCAATGCTGTCCTGGATTTCATTGTAATGATGAACAAGGGCTCAGCTCGTGTCGAAAGAAAACAACCCTTTAATTTAATTTTCTACTTTTTATTCAAACGGGGAATTTTCTTTCCTCTCTTTACTATAAAATTCTTTATTTCGGTAAAATTCATGTTCGTCTCCCCCTTTTTCCTTTATTTGTACATAATGGTCAGACTTTCGTTCTTCCTCAATTCCACTTAATTTTCCTGTGGCATATTTAAATGAGACATTGATACAAAACAGTTTAATTTTAATTATAAATGGCCGCTTTTAACTGGAATGAATTAAAAATATTGCTTCAAATGCTAATTCATACTTGGTGATATAGTAAAATTTTATCTTTACATTATGCAACATCTGAATATGCCACAGGGAAATAGAGTGGAATTGAGGAAGGATACAAGTCTGACTAATTGCACCAACCTATTAATTAAAAATACAATCCTGAATTGAGTCAGAAATTAAATTGAGGTCTGAATTGTCAGAATTAATGATATTTTTTTAAATTTATTTATTCGGGTTTTAATTTATGGAAATTATTTAAATTAAATATTAATTATTCTTTACATTGTTGAATAATTTTAATTATAAATTTGTTAAAAAGGGAGTAATCAATTTGTTAAATAAAACTATGTGAAATTTCATCTAAATTTTCATCAAAAATTTTTCTCATTATTTTATAGTTTAAGGTACATTATAAAAAATTGAAAAAATTGCAAACGAAATACAGGGTGCGGCAAATTTAGCGCCGACTTTGTTTTGGCTATAACTTTTTTAATTTTAATCGAAAATTGATAATTCTTTTTTTGTTTTACACCTAACACTTTAGGAAATCTATTGGTACCAAATAATAAACATTTTGTTTGCGGATATTAATGAAAAACGAGTACGAACATAAAAACGGGTAAAAATGGATTTTTCATGTCAAAGTTTAATTGATCATAACTTTGTTCAAAATCATCCAATCCGAATAATTTTGGTACCAATCGACTTATCTCGTTCAGGCGTATCGAAATAGCTAATAATCTCATTTTTGAAAATTTCACACAAAAAATTGGTATTTGCCAAAATTTGTTTAATTTATCATTCAGTGAGCCATATCTCGGTCCATTTATGTGATAGACGCCTGATTTTGACGTCATTCGAATCAGATTGGAGAGCTGATTCGAATGATATATAAACTTCATAAATTAAAATAATAGCCTTGAATCCAGGCCATATTTTATCCAAAAATTTTTGCTCGAAATTTGATAGAAAATTAATCAAACTTAATTATAAAATTTAAAAACGATTTTGGTATCAACAATTTTCCTAAAGTGTTGGGAATCCAGGAAAAAAAGAATTATCAATTTTCGTTTAAAATTAAAAAAGTTATAGCCAAAACAAAGTCGGCGCTAAATTTGCCGCACCCTGTACATATAAGCTACAGAAAACTCAATAAAGGTCCATGTTTTAATGTATGTATTTTTTCTTTTTTTTTATGTATTTTCATTATTTATCGAGACATACTCGTAAAAATGCTTATAGGAATTACCCCAAAACAAAATTAGCAGCTTTTTAGAAATAGTAAAAAAAGCAATGGACTGTCTGCCATTCAATTCCTCTATTAATTCATTCAATCATACAATAGAGCAATCATTCACCGGCCTTCCAAAAATTTTCACATCCAAGGCCGTTTGCTGCATGCTTTCAAACAAAAATTGCCGTCCTGTTGTGCTTGATGTAAAAATAGATAGTTGAGCTTTGTATTACCTTTTTTGTATTAAACAAGCGATGCTCATAAGCTGAAGGGCGTCGATGTTTATGGCTATGGGAAGGGAGGTGAATTGGTGGAAGAAAAAAATGAAAGGAAGGATAAATGCTTGTGCTTCTATTAATTTTCTTGTTGAAAACAAGCAAAATAAGTACAAAATTCAGCGCAGGCTGAGGACATCAAGCATTGACCTAGTGTTGGAAATTAGTCCACTCTCATTCATTTTTCCTCATTTAAAATTTTCAATAATCCATAAAAATTGCTCATATACCGTTTAACCCGTATTAGTTGCCCTCCCTCAAATGATTACCCCACTTCCATTAATTACCCCATTCAACGGTAGATTGAAACCATAATTACCCCCAACTAAATCACGTTCAAATTTCAAACCTCGTATAATTACCCTCCCTCGATTAATTACTCCCTCCAGCTTTTTTAATTTTTGAGAGCCCCTATAATTAGATACACTCATTATAAGACACACTCTTAATAAAATCTTCTTCCCTCATACATATAGACATATGTAAATCTTAATCTAAAACTTATGTGATTTGGAAAACATCAAAATCCAAAACACAAAAATAAGGGAGTTCTAAACGAACTCCCGTTCCAAAAATTATAGAACAGCGACTCATAGATACCGAATAGCCTATCTCTTTTTCATAAATAAAAGAAAATTCAAATTTTGCATATGTTGCAAATCTTTATTTTTTATGTATATTCTTTTAACAGTACTAATTATCGAAACATACCCAACTAACTATATTTATTTTAGCGTTTCTTTCATTAATTATTTAAAAATTTGTTTGAAAATTTAAAAAAATTTAAATATCAGTGTACTCGCCATTTTACAGTATTAAGGTAAGAGCTTGATATTTTGAGAGAAGAAAGGCCAGGATCTGACTGGGGAGCTGGAAATTCAGATTCTGCCATATTTACAAAAAGCTTCTCTAATTACCTCTTTAATTAAGGTACCTCCTCAGTTCTTTTATTGAAATTTAATCACAAGCTCCCCCCCCCCCCCCATTTCTCTCCCCTCTTCAACCATTTTCCCTTCCGCTTTTTTCGTCCTCCATTCTCGTGCTTGTTGCTTGCTGTTGCTTTTACTCTTCCTTTTTTACAATAAAAATATAACAGTAGCACATCAGCCGGATTAAGCGATGAAAAGAATTCGGCGCAAGGTTGGGGGCATAGGAATGAACGAGCATGAATATATTAGTAGTTAAAATAGGCAAGCCTTACCAAACACAGTTAGGTTGAATGAATGAAAAAAGGGAAGAGGGGAAGGAAATTATTTATTTGTTGGAATGCAAATGCTAAAATAATAGTAAAAAAATTTTGGGGGTCTTTTTGCTACTTGTGCCACTATTTAGAATAAAAATGCTTTAATGGTTATATCGGAGAGAAGAGTGAATGAATGAATGCTTTGCTTCCATTCAAAATAATTTCAACTAAAAATTGATGAAAACACGCTTCCCTTATATTTTATAAAAAATTTTAGTAACTGTATTGCCTGTTAAATACTTTATTTATTCATAGTCCCGAAAAAATTTAAAAACCAAGCCATTATAAATATATTTAATTTTTAGCTTCTTAGCTTCCTAAAATCTGGATTTCTATAGTTTTTTGTAATTACAATTTTATTTTCATTAATCTTGAGGGATCCTGTCCTGTTCAAAATTTTAAAACTCAATCATGCAAATGTGATTTTACCGACCTCCAGTTTCAAATTCTTTCAAAATTTTCGAAAGATATGGAGGTAAAGGAACAGATCTAATTCAAAAATTTTTCGTTGTGGATATTAAAATTTTGCGAAATAACACTCTGCATTCACATCCTCAAGGACTGTTGGCATTGAAATCCAACATCATCACAAACACAAATACAGGAGTTTACTAGTAAAACTCCCTTTCCAAAAATTCATGAATTAGGTGTAAGTTATAGGGTTAATCTTTGTGTAGTATATAATTAATAAAAAATGTGATTTTATATATTAAACATTTTATTTTTACTTTTGTTTTAATTTTTGTATTAATCACTATTGTTCATTTCAAAAAATCTGTTACATATTTACATTGAGACTATTCAAAAATTTTTGAAATAATTACGCTTTTACTCTTTTTTATTGATATACAAATTTTTAAAAATTTTAAAGAAAATTTAGAGAAATTCAAAATGTAGGGAAAGACAGATTAGATCCGTTCAAAATTTATTGTTACGATACTAACACTAAGATTTTTTAAAATATCGATATCGTATTCTAATCCTTAAGGCCGGATCCAACTAAAATTCTTAAATATCACCTCTTAATTTATCCAGATTGATACAGGAGTTCATAAGAACTCCCTTTCCAAAAATTGTAATTTGGCGGTCGAAGTTGTTTGTGCAAAAAAATATAGACTTAAGTTTAATACAAAATGTAAATTTATATATGGAGCATTTTTAATAAATTTTTTTCCTTTTGTTTTATTTACATATTTATTTTTGTATTACGTAGTAGAACACATGTATTCAATTTAAACTCTAATATACATTGTTTTAAATATTTCCAACTTATTCAAAAAATTTTCAAAAAAATTTTCAAACTTTAAAAATATGAGGAAAAAACCATTCTTCCTTTTTAAGCTTGATTTAAGTAGAGGCACTTGTTCTCCCATTTTCTCTCCCTCTCCCAGTTTTCTTTCCCTCCATTTACGGCCGATCCCGTCATGTCACTTTCTCATAAAATTTGAAAAAAGGCCTTAAAGAGGGGACAAACTTTTTTTAGCCTAAAAACGCTCAACCATGCGCAGAGCAATTTAATTTTTTAATTCCTAAAATTTCCACTTTCCTGTGTTTGAAAAAAGAAGCGATTCCTTTTCTTGTCTTAAAATGCTCTTGCTTACTATACTAGAGAGAAAGACGCTTTCTTGCTTTTGTTGTTTTGTATTTGGGCCAGGCAGCAGCTATTTAATTCCTTCCTTTCCTTACTCATCTCTTGCCATTTGCCACCATTGGCTGCCTTAAAAATTCTGGTTTTTGTCATCTAAAGCACCAAAAAAATAGCAAATTGCCAACTTACCATCAATTTTTTACCTATTTCACAACCCTTTACACCTCTTGCCGTTGAAGAGTGTGTGCTTGTCTCTCTTTCCTGCTTACCCCCCCCCTCCTCCCCCCATTTACCCCGTACTTCCATCCTTCAATCAACCCCCAATCTCACATCGCGCATTTTCCGTGTGCTCAACACCTCCTCTAGAGCCAAACTTGCGCCAATTGTTGTTCCTTTTGTCCCTTCCATTTTATTACAAGTAGAAAAAAGAGAAGAGCCGGCGTGTTCATTCGAGAGCGGATGGAAAAGAAGAAAAAAAACGAAAGGGAGACGACTATCCATCCAGCCGACTGTAAAGAAAAAAGAAAGGGGAAAACCAAAAAGAATAACACAGCAAAGTAAAGCAGCCGACAGACTCGCTCTCAATGTGAAGCAACAACACAACCTGCTTTCTACTATTGCTCTTGTTCAAGCAAATCATGCGCAATAAGAGGCGTAATGGCCGGGAGTTGATTGGGACGGAAATTGGGAATTGATGAAAGAGTAGTATAATAATAAAAATAAAACAAAGGAAATTGTAGAAATTTTAGAAAATCGGCGGAAACTTTATTTTTACTTAATATAAATAAAAGTAATAAAGAAGCTTTTAATGTTGCAAATAAAATTATTTCAACCATTAAACTTAAGCCATTAAAACATTTAACAATAAACTTGGAGAGGAACTTGAAAGGAAACAAACATTTAAGCTTAAACTCTAAACAATTAATAATGTTCAAATAAAACTTAAACATTGACAAACGTAAAACTTGAAAATAAGGTTGGAATATAAAGTTGAAACTTGAAAATCAAGATGAAACAAAACTTAAAACAAGAACTTAAGCACAAACTTGAAAACTTAAAAACAACAAACTTAAACGTAAACTTAAGAACAAGCTTAGAAACAAACATAGAAACTAAGAACAAGCTTAAAAACAAACAACAAACTTAAAAATAAAATTGAAAACAAACAAAAACTTAAGCACAAACTTGAAAACTTAAAAAACAACAAACATAAAAATAAACTTGAAAACTTAAAAACAAACAAAAACTTAAGCACAAACTTGAAAACTTAAAAACAACAACAAACTTAAAGTTAAACTTAAAAATAAACTTGAAAAACAATCTTTTCTTTATTACTAAAAACATCATTATTACAAACCAACAACAACATCATTATTATTATTTATTGTTGTTGTTATTTTTATTTATTGCTTTCTATTTATGTTTTTCCCCTATTCTCGACTTTCTTCACATTTTCAAGCACAATCACAATCTCGCGCTGTGCTCAAACTTTTTTTTAACAAATCATTGTACGTTCACAAATAAACATTTTTATATTAGACAGGAAAACAACGCTTCTAGTAAATATTCTTTTCTACCTTTCCTTTCTTCCCTTTCTCTCCAGCAGTGTTGCGCACAACAAAAAAAGCGCTCATTCATTTCAATTCTTAAAAAAAATTTTTTTTGGTAACCGGCAAAGCCGAGTGATGACTCTGCCATGCTTGTGTTTATGTGTATGTTGTTGTTGTTGTAATGCTACGAGAGCGACTGACTAGAGTATAAGTATATGTAGCAAGTTGGCCGAATGATTGGTGGCTGAAGAGGAAAGGAAGAAAAGGGGCCACAAAATATATATACGTAAATGGAAGAGCCAGCCGACAAGACTATTGTCGTCGTTAGAGCAATAGTTAGTTACTTGGTTGGTTGTCAGAGCCTTTTTTGGCCGAACAAGCCAAACAACAAAACTTTACAGCCTCATTCAAGTAAGAGGAGCTATTCTCTTTATTTCTGTTAGTAATAGGTAGAAAATGCTGCTGTTCATTTTGACAGATTTTTGGTAATCGAGAAAATATGGACACAGACTTTGTTCTCAAAAATCACGCGCATTAAAAGAAATATTTTTAAGCGGCAACCACTTTCCATTCTCTCATTTTTTCTTCTTGAGCGCCTCTCATTTGGCTAGCTTGAGCTTTAAAATAACAATATTAATTCTATTACACAAACTTTCTTTTTGTCAAATTGGATGTAAAAAAGGGGGAGAAGAATTGTTGGCCCAATACTTACTTTTTAAACTAAATGACTCATTAAATATTTAACATCAATCAACAATGAAGGCAGTTTCTTCTTTTTTAGTTTTAAAGATTTTTAACCTGTTCATTTTTGGGAATTGTTTGATTTGATGATGAAATTTTACTTTTTTTTACCTTATGATTAAATTTAATTAAAGTAGACTCTTTTTTCTTTTTTATAATTCAAAGGGATATCCAAAGGATCCAGAGGACCAAAGGCTACAGGAGTATTTTCCAGACCTGCTTAGGTATACTGATTTTAGTATCCGTATCCGGATATTTACGGCGGACACAGGCGGATATCCGCATTGATATTATCTGTATTCATATCCGTGTTTATGAGCAGGTTTGGAATCCTCAATGATTTTTCAGCCTCCGGATCAATGGTTGGAAGTTCGTTAACAAAATTCGTACTCGTACTTGTGATCGAAGTACAGTACGAGCAAATTTCAAGATTCCAACCACTGCTCAAGATATTCCCCATCCTCAGATATAAGCTCACCAACAAATACTAGATTATGACACGACACCACCCGTCGAATTCGTTGTAATTAAAGATTTACATAGGATGGGATTTCATTTAAAATTTCATGCACCCCGTCCCAAACTCGAGATCTTTTCCTGATTTAAAGTCCCGAGAGTTTTATAGAATCCTCCATCATTAGTCACCTTACTTTTTTACTTTACGATTAATCCCGTTTGGAATTTTTTGAACCCATCCCCTATGGGATCTCGAAATTCGATTTTAAAAGTAAATCTCTAGTTATAACAAGAGTCAAATTATTCATGATTTCTAATTAAATATTTCTAAATTTTTGTTTCTAATTCCACCTTTTCTAAAATTTTCTTTAAATTTAAATCGCAACTCTTTAACCATTTTTATTTTCATGTCCTTGATGATCTTTTTTCTTTATTTTTTTATCTAATAAAATTCTTAAGCTTAAAGTTTCAATCAAATGCCCTTGAAACATAGAGGAACGTTTTAAATGTGTTTTGAACACAAAACAATCAACAATACTTTTTCTTACCCCAATTGAATAAAACAACTTTTTGTGTTTACATTCGTTCAAATATTCGAGTACTTTTGGAATATCCTTGTTAACTGATTTGGAAACAAGAAACAATTAGTCAGGTCCATAAAATAGGGTTCGATTCAATGGCTGTTCAAGGTTTAATCCGAAAATCGGCTTGAACTTCTGTCCGGCTCTCCTCAAAACTACCTTGCTCGAACAATAACCCAACTAAAAATAACGGGATATCCTTGTAAAAAAAGAAACATCTTTGGATAGGTCCTTAAATTAGGGTTCAATTCAATAGCTGTTCAAGGTTTGGCCCTTAAACCAGCTCGAGCGTCTGTCTTGCTCCCCTCAAAATTACCTTGCTCTCGCAACAACTAAAAATAACAAAATAATTATTTAACCTTGATATAGTATCCTATAATACCCTAATTTAAGCTAAATAATCTACATATTTATTCTCTAAATAGTTTTGCATAAATATAATATAATTTAAAGTGCTTTCGCTATCTTCCCCCCCCCCCTCCCCCATTTATTCTTCTTTTAATTTTATTTTTCGCTTCTTGCTCGTTCCAAACTTGTCAAAACTTCACCCCCTACCAAAAAATTTGTCTTTAACCCCTTTTCCAAATAAATATATATTGCTTGCTTAACTGCTTTTGCTGCCATCCTTTTCCCATTTTTGGGGGTCGTTTGTGCGTAGCTTCCTTCTCCTTCCTTTTTTTGCTTCAAGTTGTGCAATCCTCTCAATAACTCTCTGCCTTTCTATAAAAATAGTTTTAAAGAATTTCCATACTTGCGCAGATTGAAAATGAGCGATTTAAAATGCGCGGTCTATTAAAACAACAGAAGCAACACAATATTTAAGCTATTTGGTGATTATCCTCTAAACAATTTATTTTTATATTTTTAGTCTAGCCAGCCTTTTGGCGATAGTTTATTTTACTTTTATTTAACAGTACTGTTAAACTTGTTGTTTTATTTTAAAGTTTTTTAAAAACAAGTTTGTGAAAAACAAGTTTGAACTTTGTTTAAGATGATAACCTTAAGAGATGCCTTATTACACCTTATAGAAACTTTATCATTATTGAAGCGTTTAGCGAAAACATCGAGCCTAAAGCATCTAAAAATTGTTTTATTTCTCATGAAGCATTTATTGAAGCATGAAAATAATGAAGCAAGGCAAATGAAACAACCAAGGCAAAAATACTTGAGATAAACATGAAGCAGTTAGAAAGCTTAAACAAATAAGCTACTTTAGAGAAACATTTAATTAAACTTGAAACAAACTTAAACAAACTTGGAAACTTAAGCAAACTTAGAACATCTAGAACAAACTTAAAACAAACTTAAATAAAATTAAAAAACAACAAGAACGAACTTAAAACATTTAGAACAAACTTAAAAATTTAAACAAACTTAAAACAAACTTGAATTTACTTAAAACAACAAGAACGAACTTAAACTTAAAACAGCCCTATATTTCCCTTTAAAATTCTCAACTTCACTTAAATTTCAATATTCTCCAATTTTATTTTACTTTCTTTTTTTTATTTCCTTTTTATATACTTTTTTTTCGTTCCTACCCCCATACATCTTTTTCACATTCTACTACCATTCATTTTATTTCTCATTGCCATTATAAAATATAAAAACATTGTTCCTTTCCCCTCCCTTCATTCGCAACTGGCCCCAATCATTGCCAGCTTTGTCTTTTCTCTTTTTTTAACATTTTCTTTGTTCTTTTTTATCCAAAAAAGGAATGGAGCCAAAATTTTTTTTGTCAGTTAACGGCATCTTTTCTTCCGCTTTTTTCGCGCATCCTTTGTTGTTTGTTATACTCCCTGCGGTGAAATTCGGTGCGTTAACTCAATTATCCGAAAAGGGATGAAATGTCTCTTTTTTGTGTACTAATAGCTGAAAAGAGCAAAAATTCTGGCAAAAATATTTTTAACTTTTGGTAGAAGGATGAGGCAGGGTTCGATCTCTTAAGACCCTTTCTCGCTTTTTGTTGAAGACTGGTAACTAGAGACCGGACTGAGAATACGAGAAAATATACGAGTATCGAGATCGATATCTAGAAAAATCTCGATTCTCGATAACCGAGATTTTTCTATTCTCTATAGTAAAGTGTTTTCAACTACTTTAGAAAGGGGTTCCTAAATTGCTCAATCAAATAGGGGTCTACTTTGAGGTGTAAGACCTGTCTAAAAGTGTTGTACTAGAATCGAGATTGATACTTCGAAAAATCTCGATTCTCGATAATCGAGATTTCTATTCGAGATCTAGTCTCGTCTGATCTCTATCAATAACTGTCTGCGTATTTCCCTTATATTAAAAAATTCAACTGCCCTAGAAAGGGTCTCTTAAATTAGCCCAATCGTCAAATTGTAAGGAAGAGAAGGAGAGAGAGCTGGCTAGCATTTAAAACGCTGACTGCGGGGGTTTAAGATCTTATAAAAGAGAAGGTGAAAGCAGCGTCCCGGTAGCTCAGTTGGTAGAGCACCTGTACGTGGTGAGCGAAAGCGCCTAGCAATAACTGCCAGGAGGTCGCAGGATCGAAGCCTGCCCGGGATTAAACTTTTACCTCGCTCTTACTAAATTAAGTTCTATTTCTTACAAAGGAGAAGTTGTTACGAAGGAGAGGTCCCGAAGTCCCACGGATACCCCACAGCCTCTCCTTTATTAGTGGAATTTTAATTTGAGGTCTAGTCTGATTCTAATAAAAGACCCACTAATAAATTTAACATAAAAAATATATTATAGCTTTATTTCTAAATTTAGTCTACATATTATTTCCAAATAGGCTTAAAATTCAACAAAAAAAGGAGTCTTTCCCCCCTCAACTTTTTCACCTATTTTCTCCCCTATTTTTTAATTCTTTCCCCCTTCCTTTTCGCCAAATTGGCCCAATCGTCATTGTCAACGCCTCTTTTTTTTTACAATTTTTTCCCGCGAGAGGCAAAGCCATCAACAATAAAGCCATTTACACGGCCAAAGCAACGAGAAAATAAGAGAAAAGAGCTCACACAAATAAAATATCAACCAACCCATTTTTACTTGTAGCTAATCCTCTAAAGCATTTTTATTTTTTTTATTTACAGTAGGTTGTTAATACTATTGGCCATAAAAGCTTTAAAGGCTTTTACATTTTTATATTAGCTCAGCTTATAAATATTTTTGAAAAAAAATATTTTCTAAATTTTTATTCTAAATAATACATATTATTTATAGTCTCCCCTTTCTATTTTTCTCCCTTTCTATTAAGGCCCTTTCTATTAACTTTCAGTTCCTCCCATGTTGCGTATCGGATTCGTCATACTTTTTGCTCCAGAAATGCCCAAATAGAATAATCCACTGACTTAAATCCAGTGAGTTTGAAGGCCTTAATAGAAAGGGGAGACTATAGAAAGGGGAGACTCTCCCCTTTCTATTTTTATTATTAAATAAACTTTCCGGAATTAATAATCATTAGATTAATAATTCTGATAATTTCCTGTAGGGTTGTCGGTTCTGGACCGAAACGAACCTAAGAACCGATGATTTTTTGGTTCGGTTTGCTTTCGGATATCCAAAGAATTTTCAAAGAACCGACAATCCTAGTTTCCTTCATTACTTAATTTCGTATTTTTCGCCGGAATTTTTTATTGTTAGTCTGTTCGGAATTAATGCACTCGTTAAGTTCCTTGAATTAATAAATTACTTTCCGGAATTAATAATTGTTTATACCTTTCGGATATCCTAAGTTTTTAGTCCATATTTAACTTTAGTCTACATATTATATTTATTTTCTCTCTGCCTTTCCGGGTCTTTGGCTTTCCAAGGTAGACCTTAGAAATTCCCAAATATGTTCCTTTTCCTTAGAAAAGTTTGCTTTATTCCCAACAATTAATTTGTGTTTATTTATTCCTTAACCTGCTCTTGGCATACAATTTTCTTCTAAAATATACAAAATTCCACTTATATCAATATTTATTTATTAGAATATTTATTTTATGCGCGAGAGAACAATTGTGGCCTCACAAATAAAAACAAGCTTCCCGAATAGCCAAATATATACAAAAACTTTTTGTATTGTTCCTAAACATCCGAGCATTGTATTTTATTATTCTTTAAGATTTTTGTTTGTTTGGCCTCAAATATATTTGTTTGGATATGTCTAATAATTTAGGTAAAGTATTTATTAAGGTTGCAAGTTTTATTATTTATTCTATTCTGATGTTTTATGTTGATTTTTGCTTCAAGTTTGTTTATTGTATTTGTTCTATGTAGGTTTTAAGCTTGTTATTCTGATTTTCTTTACTTTGACTTTTTAATTCTGATTTAATTCTGACTTTTTAATTCTGATTTTTTTTCTGATTTTTATTGTTCTGATTTAATTCTGATTTCTTAATTCTGATTTAATTCTGATTTTTATTGTTTTGATTCAATACTTTCTGTTATTCTGATTTATTTCTGATTCACTTCTGATTTTAATATTCTGATTTTTAATTTTATTTAATTTTGATTTTTTAATTCTGATTTTTTATTGTTCTGATTCAATGTTCTTCCTGTTGTTCTGATTTAGTTCTTGTTTACTTCTGATTTTCTGATTTTGTAATTTTATTTAATTCTGATTTTCTCAACCACGTTCTGTTTCACTTTTTATTACTGAAATTCTGATTAATTTGAACTTCTGATTTTTTCTAATTTGTTGTTCTAATTTCATTCTGATTTTTTAGTAATATGTAGCTATTCTGCTTTTTATTTTTTAATTCTGATTTTATTTTTAGTTGTTATTCTTCAATTTAAATTGCTTGTCTCCCTACCTATTCACTTATTATTCATTCAAAGCTTGACTGTCTACTAAACAAAACCTATAAATATACCTTTACTCCCATTAATGCCGCCTCATTTTTTGTCTCATGGACAAGCCAAAAGTCTCATTTATTCATTCAAAGTCTATTCATTACTACTTTTTTTTACTTTTTCCCCTCTTTTATAATTTAAAAGCAGACCAGCGCGCTTTGATGAACACAAAAAATAATAAAAAAACTCTTCCCTTTTATGTTTCAAGCTTAGGCATGATTTTTGTAAAGGTGATGGATGGCACCCAAAATAAGTAAAAAATAGTTTTTCTCTTTTTATGTTGCTTTTTGTATGTTCCGGTATATTCTCTATCTACTTACTTTTCTGGGATAAAAGCATTCCTAAAAAGGAAGGGATAAAAGGAGAATACCCAACTAAGGCCCTTTTATAGTAATAAAACCTTTGGTAAGTGCTTACATTTTGAAGGTCATCATCTTTATATACCTTTATTCTCTTTTCCAAGCCAAAAAATTTTTTTTCCTGACCTTTCTATTTATTCGATTTTGCCCAAATTGTATGTAAGCTTTCGCTTGATCAAGTAGGAATTGAATTGAAGAAATTTTCAGGGAAGAGAAAGGACACATCTTTTTTGAGGGAAAAACTTGTGTCATTGTGTTCGTATTTTAAAAAAAATTAATTTTTTGTTTAATCTTTAGTCGAATCATTGTACTTGGGGAAAATACTTTTTAATTTTTATGCTAATACTTTGCTTTATTTTAAATATGCTTTAGCTAGTTCCCTTATTTTTGGGGGCATTTTATTTAAAATTAATTTACACGGACTGTTTAAAGGAGCAATCCTACCGCAAATACAGGACCTTTTTCTTTAATAAAATATGTACAGGGTGCGGCAAATTTAGCGCCGACTTTGTTTTGGCTATAACTTTTTTAATTTTAATCGAAAATTGATAATTCTTTTTTTGTTTTACACCTAACACTTTAGGAAATCTATTGGTACCAAATAATAAACATTTTGTTTGCGGATATTAATGAAAAACGAGTACGAACATAAAAACGGGTAAAAATGGATTTTTCATGTCAAAGTTTAATTGATCATAACTTTGTTCAAAATCATCCAATCCGAATAATTTTGGTACCAATCGACTTATCTCGTTCAGGCGTATCGAAATAGCTAATAATCTCATTTTTGAAAATTTCACACAAAAAATTGGTATTTGCCAAAATTTGTTTAATTTATCATTCAGTGAGCCATATCTCGGTCCATTTATGTGATAGACGCCTGATTTTGACGTCATTCGAATCAGATTGGAGAGCTGATTCGAATGATATATAAACTTCATAAATTAAAATAATAGCCTTGAATCCAGGCCATATTTTATCCAAAAATTTTTGCTCGAAATTTGATAGAAAATTAATCAAACTTAATTATAAAATTTAAAAACGATTTTGGTATCAACAATTTTCCTAAAGTGTTGGGAATCCAGGAAAAAAAGAATTATCAATTTTCGTTTAAAATTAAAAAAGTTATAGCCAAAACAAAGTCGGCGCTAAATTTGCCGCACCCTGTATATTAGAAGATCTCGTGGGCATGTTTAGGGACAATTAAGAATACGTAAGTATCATTACAGACCCTCTATACGTAAGTATTACCTTCAAGGATCACTAGACAACAATCCCTAGATTACAAGTATTCTTAATTGTCCCTAAACATGCCCACGAGATCTTCTAATTCACAAAATCTTCATAACCTTCCTCTTCCCTAGTCTTTTACCAACCGCTCCGCTCTTTGAGAACATACCTTGATTCATTCCAGAGATGGGTCGGAGGTTACCCGAAATCCTGACTTTTGCTCGACTATGAACCCGATCCAGAGAAATTTTTGAAAGCCCAGCCCGACTTTTTTTCTCAACCCGTACCATCCATTATTTCTCTGTAAATTTTAGAAATTTGTTTTTAACTCTTCGATAGGTTATTTTAAAATATGTATAATTTATTTAACCTCAGTTGCTTAAAACATTAAAGCAAATCCTTTTGGATTTATTTAATCCCAATTACTACAAGCAACTTATCCAAGGGGTTTGTTTCAATCCCTAGTTTAGACCTAAAAAATATTTTTGCTTTTTTCTATCAATATTATTTTTTAATTCTAATGAATCCCCGAGATCCTTCCCTCTTCCCTATTTTATTTATTCATCCAAGCTCCATCCTATCCTAAACTTTCCCCTTCCAAATTCTTTCAAAATCACACAACATTTTTCTTTTCAATGGCGCTTTGTCTCATTTTCTCCTTTTTTTAATTTTTTTCTGCTCCCATTTATTGTTAAACAACGGCCAAAAATTTATATTTATTTCTTCCCCCCAACGCTTCTTCTCCTAGCTTTTACTATCAAATAAATAAATATATAAAGCTTTTTGGATGCCTGGTCATTGTACTGCTCATTTTTGCCCTTCTTTGATTTCTCTCTACTATCATTTTTCTCTTTTTCCTGAAAAATTTTTTGGCGCAACCCAACAGCTTTTAAAATAGAAAAGAGTATAACAGGGCTTATCTCCAGTCTATCGTTTAAATCTAGGAATCCTTGAAGAGTTCCTAGTTTAGGGATTATTACAGACCCTTCAAAGATCACTAGACAAGGATCCCTAGCAGGGGTGAGGCATTGCGTTTTGCGTTTTTTGAAATTGTCTCTTGCGCTCATCCTTGATCCCTAGATTACAAGGATCCTTCAATTGTCCCTAAACTTGTCCCTTCTTCCATCTTCCCTCCTTGATGCCCTCATTTGCCCATCCTGATTTTCTTTCATTTAGGATTTCCATCCATCTTTCCAAGTGCCAACACGACCAAGCCAAAAGAGGTCCAAATTAATAGCCCCTTTCCCCTCTCAGATCCAATTTCTCCTCACATTTCCTCCAAATGGCCACAGGACTGCTAAAACAATGAAAAGCGTCCATTCCGCTCATTTCACTTCATATATTTATTCGCTTTTCCTTTTTTTGTCACAAAAACTTTTTCCAGTCTTCTCTTCATTTTGTCCTTCATTTACTCCCTTCCCCTCATTATTTTCCCCTCCCATTAAAAGCCTCCCTCCCCCTTCCCCTTGTTGATTCCGTTGTGTGATACTAGTAGACTGACTGAATGCTCTGTTGCAGTTCGTGTCCTTGTTTATCTGCTACTGTTCCTTTCACATCCTCCTAACTAAAAAAACCTTCCTCCAACACACGGGCCATTGATTTTTAGTGGATCTTTTTTCTTTCATTTTTTACATCCTTATCTAGAGTTTTGGGAGAAAAGAAAGTAAATGGCCCCCTAAATATATATACTTTTTCTATTTATATTTTAGTTTAAGCAAAAAAAAGTAAACGGGGAGAGACAGGGCTTTTTGGTAAGCAAAGATTGTGCTTCTCTTTTTTTGTATTCTTTATTTTATTAAATGATAAGCGCTTCTGTTTTTTAAATAAATTAATTTATTTGATAGCTCATTTATCAAAACAGTCTGACTTCATTGTAGGGTACACCCTTGGGATTGTGAAATGGAAAATTGTATACCTTATAATGAGGTGTATAGAGGGCATGATTAGGTAGCTTAGGTTTTTTTATTTTTTTCATTGAGCAGCTTCCCACTCGGATGCTAACCAAATTTTAAACGTGTATTAAATAGATGGTTTTCTAATTTTGGGGTATATTTATTATCCAGTTGGACCTCCTATACTCGCAAAACTGGCTATACCTCAACTTAGGATACTTGTTTTAATATCTGGTTATCTTTTGGCTTTGGGAGCTGTATATGTGAGAAACTTTCTATATTAATGATCTATTTTTTAAAAAATTCTTTAGCATCAAGAGTGTGTCTTATTAAGATTTTTGACTGTATTCTTATTTTCTGCCAGAATTCTTTTTAAATTTAATAAATTTCATTTTTAGTTGATAAATTTTAAAAAATTAAAAGGCTTTTTCGCTTAAAAATTGAAATAAAATAATTTGTGGAAATAAACTACAATAGAAAATAATTAGAGAATCGAAAAAAATTTCATCAAAAAATTTTAAACAACGCAAAAACGACGACCCATAAAGTTAAGCAGCTTCTTCCTTCGTCCCCTCCCCTGTCTGAACCTTCATCGCTTAAAATGCCTTATAGAACGTAATAAAAATATTCTTTAAATTTAAATTTTTAAAGTTTATTTTTTAGTGATTTGAAGAGGCCTGACTTGAAGGGTGAGAAATTTTTTAATTTTATAATGATTTAAGGCAAATTAATTGACAATTAGAAAAATTAATTCAAAGATTGGGTAGATCCCCTATAGTGGTTAAAACTCAAAAAAACGTCTCTTAAATAGAGGGGATTTTCTTAAGCAACCATAGGGTTTCCTTATTCTGGATTGGAACCAGGGTTACTTGATTGCATTAGGCATGGTTTTTCTGGATTAATCTGGCTCTGAAATAATCCGGAGAGTGCGAAAAAAAAGATTTGGATTGTAGACCTGGTCTTGGGAAAAATCAGAGACTGTTCTGGTTTGGCACCGAGCATCAAACTATATTCTTTAAAGTCTAAATTTCTTCCAATTTCGATATAATTTTTCCTTCGAATGGACCAAATAAAGTGTTCGTTGTATCGAGGGGTTCTTTATAAATATCAAGAGATTAATTAAGTATATCGAGAGTCGACTGTAATTTAACAATTTACAGGGCAATTTCCATGTTCTGTCTGCAACAAAATATTTTGTCATTCATCCTCCTTGAGCAGACATAGGTGAGAACAACAACAATTTATCTAATCCCTATTTAAAATTAAATATATTTAGAATGCAGGCACATTACAAAAGTTATACTTGTACTCAATGTAATCAAGATATTCATAGTGAGAAAATAAAATTAAATTTAAATTTTAAAAAATTTGTTTTTTAAGACAGCGAAAATCTCCGTTCACACATGTATCGGTGTCATCAAATACATAGAATGTTTATGTGTAGGTGTTGTAATTGGGCATTTCCTGATAAGGTAGATTAATTATAATGTTGTGTTTTTATTCTTATTTTTGTATTTTTCTGTATTTTCTTATTCTGATTTTGTGTTTTCTATATTTTCTTTTTGTTCTGATTTTGTATTTTTCTGTATTTTCGTTTTGTTCTGATTTTGTGTTTTCTGTGTTTTATTTTTGTTCTGATTTTGTGTTTTTCTGTATTTTCTTATTCTGATTTTTGTGTTTTGATTTGTAGTTTTAATTTTCTGGTTTTTATGCTTTATTGTTTTTATATTGAGTTTCTGGTTTTTGTATTTTTTGTGTTTTTATGTCTTTGTGTTTTGTTTTTGTTTTTTTTATTTTCTGGTTTTTGTATTTTTCTGTTTTTATTCCAAATTCTGGTTTCTGTGTTTCTGTTTTATTTTCTGTCCTGTTTTATATATTAGATTCTGTTGTTTCTACTTTTCTGGTTTTTGTGTTTTTAGCTTTATATAGAATTAATAAAATCAGTATTTTATTAATTTTTTCTTTAACAGACTAGTCTTCACATTCATATGCAAAGTATGCAAAAAAGTGGAAAGCCAGGTGATGTTTCTGTACTTGCGAGAAGTTCGCTAGATCCTGATGGTAGACATTATTAAATTGTCCTTTAAATATATTTTATTTTTCAAGTTAAATTGGCCTTTCCAGACAGTGATGGTTCCACAACAAATTCTTGTCCGGAAGATGACCATCAAATTTTTCCTGAAGAGACGGTAGAGAAAATAGGAAAATTTTTTCTTGAGAAAAAAATTTAAATTTTAGGGAGAAATAAGTGAATTAGAAGAACAACAACACCTTCAAAAATTAGAAGAAACCAACAATAATTTAAGGGAGCAAACACAACGAACATCTCAACATCACATAATTAATAATAATTTCGGTTTTGATGAAAATAAAAAAGATTTTTTATTGCCTTCTCCACAACCACAACAAAATACAAATCTTCATTCAAATATTCAAACAACAACAGGAATTTTCCCTCCTCCCCAAAATCAACAACAACAACGACAAAACAATTTTGGACCCCCTAATTTTAGTGCTGCAGAAATGCTTCTGTCAAAACTTGGAGGATTTATTAATAATGAAGAGAAACAATTGCAGCAACACAATTTGCTTCAGAATAATACACCGCCTACTGCTGCACAAACATTGCTAGCTACATTTGCGGTGAATCAGAATTATAATAAAATCAGAATTTTAACTAAAACCGGAATTTCTATTTAAAATCAGAATTTTAAAAAATCAGAATTTTTATTAAAATCAGAATTTTAGCTAAAATCAGAATTTTAACTAAAACCAGAATTCTAACTAAAATCAGAATTTTATTTTTATTAAAATCAGAATTTTAGCTAAAACCAGAATTTCTATTTAAAACCAGAATTTTAACCAAAATCGGAATTTTATTAAAACCAGAATTCTAACTAAAATCAGAATTTCTATTTAAAATCAGAATTTTAACTAAAATCAGAATTCTGAAAAATAAAAAACACATTGTTTTAGAATTTTTAATTAAATCAAAATCAGAAAAAACCATAATTAACAAAATCAGAATTTTAAAAATAAATCAGAATTATTTTCAGCAACATCAGAATTCCCACCAGACACCCCAACAACATCAGTTGCTTCACTTAATTGCTAACAACCCCTATCTTCTAGCAGCAGCTGCTTCATCACCATCACCGTCATCTTCTGCTTCTGTTTCATCAAATAACGATTTTAAAAATATAATGTTGCAACATCCTACTCATCATTTTCCCCATCCTCCTCCTAATCATTTACCCATTGCTGCAAATATTTCTCCACAATTTGCTAACACTAATGTGCTTCAATCACTCTATGCAGCCGTTGCTTCAGCAGCTTCAGCGGTTGCTTCAACATCGAATTCTGCTTCAATATCGAATTCTGCTTCAGCAACGAATTGTTCTTCGACTTCAATTTCAAAACAGCCTTTATTAATGGAGAATATTAAACACAAAAAACAAAAGCTTCAACCTCCCTTAAAGAAAAGACGGGGAGAGAAGAGAAAATCTTCCCTAAACAACGCTATAATCAGTAAAAATAAAAATTCTGCTACAACAACAACAATGCCTACAATGGATTTAAGTTTGCAAATATTGCAGAAGGGACAGAATGAGAGAGCGGTAAAGACTAAGAAGACGACCGTTAACAATGAAGCAAATCAAGAAGCAAATCAGGAAGTCACCCCAAATCGTTGTGAAAGTCTCTCCCCATCAATGGGCAAACTCAATTCTTTAATTACCAATCTGTTAGCAATCAAAGGGGGAAACAACAACAGCAACAATATCAAACAAGAACACAGTCCTGGTGATGATTATGATGGGAATAATGGAGGAGAGTCTTCTTCAGCTTCTGAAAGACGAAATAAACGAAAAATGCGTACTCCTGCACGTGCTGCAGAAGTTGCTGCAGCTTTGATTAATGAAAAGAAGCTTGGAAATGTTGCTTCTGCTTCTAATGAGGTGTTGAGAAAAAACTTTTTTTCTCTCTAAAATTCAATTTTTGTAGAATAATAATGGTTCTGTAACAAGCCAACCGTCGCCTGCAGTTTCCGATTCACAAACTAGCAGTGGGGGAAGCAATGGCAACAACAACGATGAACATCAACAACAACATATGGATTTTGAAGCAAATAAGGATGATGGTCCATCAACGTGGATGTGCTCTTCTTGTCAGGCAGGTTCTTTTATTAAAATATCGCGAAAATTTTTGGGCATTTTGAAAGTAGGCAAATTGTCTTTGGACATTTTTGAGTGGGGGCCAAATGGAAATTGGACGAAATGTCCATTTTTCCTTAAATGGACGAAATGTCCATTTTTCCTTAAATGGACGAAATGTCCATTTTTACTTAGTTGGACAAAATGTCCATTTTTACTTAATTGGACGAAATGTCCATTTTTACTTAATTGGACGAAATGTCCATTTTTACTTAATTGGACGAAATGTCCATTTTTACTAACTTGTTAACTTAATTTCAGGAAATTAAAACAAGATTTGAAACAAAAGATCCACTTCCTCCTCTTCAATCGCTAACAAAACTTCAAGACAACATTGTTCAGTTACAATCTCTCTCAGAACGTATAGTTTCATTAGCATCGATAAAAGGAGAAGATAATGATAGTAACGAGCTTTTGGAGAGTGCACAAAAATTGCATCAAATATTAATTAGTGTTGTGAATGAAAATCAAATTAATGAAAGTTAGAGATTAAACGAAAAAAAAATATATTTTTTATCATAAGCCAGGGTGGCCCCTTCCAAAACACTAAAATAGGGCGCAGCTACTCAAAAATAGGGCAAAAATATGGCGAAATCGGCCAAAAATGGGGCAAAAATTAGGGCATAGCTTTAAAAGCTTAAGCATACTTAAAGTTTTCAAATATGGCGAAATTTTTGAGAATTTTGGAAGGCCAAGAAGCCAATTTCTTCCTTTTTTTGCGCCGCAGGCAAAATTTTTGAGGATTTTAGAAGGCCAGGAAGTCGGAAATCCTTAATTTTTACCATTTTTCTTACAAAATCCGAAGAATTTTTAAACTTTTACAAGATGGTAAAAATAGGGCAAAAATATGGCAAATGAGAAAATAGGGAAAAAATAGGGCGAAAAGGTCAAAAATAGGGAAAATCCTATATAAATAGGGTAAAAGGGCCACCCTGTCATAAGCCCAAGATTCCTTAAAGTACCTATATTTTTCGTTAAAAATAGCAGCAAATTAAAGCAGGAAAAAATTATTCAGTTTAAATTTAATTTTTTGGTTAATTTTTGATTAAAAAATTCTTTATTGCTGCTACATAAACATTTAAGAATCAAAATTATTAGAGCTGTCTAAGACCAAAAATTGTTCAAAAAATCAGGACCAAAATTTATAAAATTAATTATAGAGCTGTAATAGAGCTATTGTATTGGACATTTTACACTAGTCTAGGACAAAGGTCAAGTCATCTCAAGAGCCAGGAAACCTCTCTTAATATTTTCGAGTTAAGATCTAGTTTTAGACAGCTCACTTTTCCCGTCCTGTAAACCAAAATCAAGACTTTGTGCTTAAGCGAATTAGACACTTAAAAATCATTTAAAAGTCATCCATCTCCTTAAAATTATTTTTAGAATTATCAAATTTATTCTCTATATTTTTTCCTCAGTTTTTGATATCATATTTTTTAGATTTTTTTGCTATTCAGAACCCTCAGGAAATCAAATTTTAGTTTTTACTTATAAATACTCTCCCAGTTTTAAAAATTTATTTTGTCTGCATTCATAAATATTTCGCAACTTTACAATTTTATTTTTAGACTATTTTAACTAGTACAATAATACAAAGAATTATTATTTACATTTGAAAATTTACTAAAAATAATTTTTAAATAAAAAAAAGAGAATTAAAAGAAAAGAGAAGTGTGGAAATCAGGCTTGGTAATGGATACGGATACCGTAAATCCTCTAAAATAGCCCTTCCCCCTCTAGAGGTCGATCGAAAAAAATAACCCACGGATTTACGGTAAGTTCAAAATGCTTGCGGATATCCGTCTGTATTCGCCGTAAATATCAGGATACGGATACCACAATCCATGTCCATTACCAAGTCTGATGAAAAGAAATATTTTTTCTAAATTTAATTGAGTAAAATAGGAAAATTTTTTAAACAATATTATGAAAATAGCTTTAGAGAATTTTAAAAATTACAAAAATTGAATAAAAAAATCAGAAAAATAAGAAAAAACTGACCAGAAATTTTGTCAAAAATATATTAAAAGGGTTGTCGGTTCTTGGAAAATTTTCAAATATTTGGAACCGAAGAATCTTCGGGTGGGACTGGGCCATTAGGGCGCGGGGCCATTAGGGCGCGAGCTTATAAAACAGTGAGTTGCTTATCAAAAAAGATAAAATTTTGCAATAATAACTCTCATGCCTTTATCTACGTTCTCCAAAAATTTCAGCATTTTTGATCAAGAATTTCGGAAATTGTGGCCAAAAATGTTGATTTTCCGAAAAAACCATAATTTTTCGCGGTTTATCGACTATAACCTCAGAAATATTCGATGAAAAATTCTGAAATTTCTGGAGGAGGTAGACAATAATGTTAAAGAAATTTGTTAAAATTTTCATAAATTTCGGTTTCGCCTAAGTATCGGTTTCCAGTGCTGGCGCCCTAATGGCCCCGCGCCCTTATGACCCCAACCCTCTTCGGGTTGGTTCCGAATCGACAACCCTATCCTTGAATTTTTCTCAAACCACTATCATTCTATTGTCGGGCTTCACTATAAAATACTACAGAATTATATACTCGTAATGGATCTTTTAAGCTTCAAGGTGGAAAAATTTTTTTAATTTGAGTAAATAGGGAAAAGTTTCAAGGGAGTATCTTATAGTGATGTCCGACTGTGAACAATCAAAAAAATTTGTGTAAAATAATCTAACAATAAGCTAAACGTTGTAGTGGGGTTTTGGAATTGTGTATTCTAAAGGTTTTTGGGAGAAATTTTTTTTAAATTTTCCAAAAAAAAATTTTTTGGTCTGTAAATGTCTACCAAAAAACTCAATATCCTTAAGAACCCCCTAAAAATCAAAAAAAAAAATTTTTTCTTTTTATAAAGCAAAAATGTTGTTATTCTTTCTCTGCTTTCTCATCGAATGAACAAATTTTTGTACAAACTTTTCCACTTTTTCAGGTTTCAAAGATTCACGTTTGCTTAGTTTAGCAACACCTCTTTTCATAATTTCTTTATATTCGTCTTTGGTGATTTTTCTTTTACTTAAAAAATATGCTTAAAAAATTTTTTTCAGTTAATATTTTTAGGCAGAGTATCCCTTTATGTTGGAGAATTTCACAAGTCGGGGCTCGGATTGAAACCCCATCTTTGGAGGAAATATGGCTACTTGGACTCCAAAATGCTCAAAATTTTTGCTTGCGGTACTACGTACTAAATATGAGGTGCTCTCAACTCCGACCATCTTTCAAAAAAAAATTTTTTTTAATCTCTTAAAGACTAACGCGAAATAAGGCTTCAAGGATTGCTTCATTAAAGCATCCGCAGCCTGGACACTTTTGCTACGCTTTTTTGTTGGTGTTGTTAAAGTGTTGTTGTTTTTCTTCTTTTCTGGTGAAATATTATTTAAATGGCCTCCGCCAGAAGTTGATTGTCTCTCATTTAATGTATCATCTTCAATATCCATAGGTGAATCAGCTCCAAAATGACTGCTTGACTGTTAAAAAAATTAATTTTTGGATTAAAAAAAATTAGTTGAGTAAAGAGGCTTAACTCTTCCCGAGGGAACAACAAAAAAAGATTGGATCGGAGATAGACACTGACAAAAAGTACACGTAAATATTATATGGTGGGTCGACCAGATTTTTTTACTTAATAGCGTTGATAAGGGAGGGGATCTCTTCCGCTTCCGTTTTTCGTCTACTTCCGTCCTTTTTGACCCTTCAGCTTTCATTTCTTTATTTTCTTTCACCTTTAAAAATGCAGCAGGGTTCTCTTCCCGAGGAAACAGCTATCTCAAACTGGATATTTTCATTTATTTTATTATAGGGGAGGAATTGTTGGAGAAGGCATCGTTTAAAGTTCACATCCCTGTTGTAAACCCTCCACTGCATTTTTATATTGAGTGTCTTATTCTTAGCTTCGAAAGCTTGTTATTGTTATCTAACAGACATTTCAACCTCAATCTGGCCATTTTCACCAGACTAACAATAAGAATAAACCTCATTAACTCCTTCCAGCACAATTTATAACCTAAACAATATCCTCCACAAAGATTAAAAAAAAATTTTACGTTAAGCGGCGGAGGAGGAGGGGGTATCAACAAATCAGCATCATTATTAACATGTTCTTGATGTCGTTGCCCTTCAATATTTAACGGATTGGGTAGCGGCGGCGGAGGGGGAGGCGGTGGTGGGGGAGGAGGAATTGTTGGAGGGGGTAATGTTGGTAAAGGAACGGGTAAAGGAGAATTTGGGTCTAAAGAAGAATTGTCTGAATCATCAATAATTATCTCTTGTTGTTGTTGGGATTGTTCAAAATTATTTTTTTGTTGTTGAAGAGAAGATGAAGGGAGTAAGCTTTGTTGTTGTTGAATGTCGCTAGCTTGTAGTTGTAAAATTTCACGAGGATTATGGGTAGCGGGCAAAACAGAATTTTGGGTTTGAAGTAAATTCTGTTGTAAAAAATTCTGGTTTTGTTGTAATAAATTCTGGTGTAAATCAGCTAAATTTCCCCTATTTAAAAAACTATTCATTATTCCTCGTTGATTTAATAAATGCTGTCGGTTTTGATGAGGATTTTGTGGACGATAAAGTGCTGCTGTAGCATCGTTTAAAGCTGAATTAATGAAAGGAGGAGCGAATACTGGGAGAAACGGCATAAAACCTGGAAAGAGAGAATTAAATTTTGGACATTTTGAGGCCGTGGCATTTTGTCGTATCGGCATTTTGTCTAATAGGCATTTTGTCTTTTTGACATTTTGAAATTCTTTCAAAAATTAAAAAAAATACCCGTAGGCGGCCTAGCATTGATCCCACTAACAAATCCGGGTGGCGGCAACGGAAAATTAACAAGTTGATTATTAGAAGTTCTGTCAGATGGAAGAGGAGGCGGAGGGAAATTCAAAAATGCTGCCGCTAAATTTTCTGCTGACGGCAAAAAATTATTAGGCAAAATTTTGGGATCATCTGGGGTAACATTATGGGTATCGTTGTTGTTATCCTTAATTGTTGTAGACATTTTTGGAAGTTAATAAATTAAATTTAATATTTTTTTTTAATTTTGAAAATCTGAAAATAATTGAGATTTTTTTAATGGAGATTGACAAGGAATTGGCAAGAAAAAAATGATGAAATGCGAAAGGAAATAAAAAAATGAAAAGAAATTCAAAAAATCGAAAGAAAAACGCGCATTTAAATTTTTGGCAATTTTAAAAATGAAGGGTGTAATTCCTACCAAAGATGGTCGAAATTTCGTTTAGTTTTCGAAATTTCGTTTCGATTAGAAAAAGAAAAGGATTTTATTTTGGTCATCTCTAATTCTTAAGAATTTTTCCAAAAAAGTTTCTTTTCTTAGAGGAAAAGTTCGTTCTTTTCCATCCTTCGATCTTAAGATGGTAAATAATAAAAATACTCGTCCCTAAAAAGAATCCCAAACCCCCAATTTTTAAATATTTTTTTCAAAATTCCAAACTTTGCCGGTCCTCTTTTGGTCATTGCGGGTGAATAAATCTTCTTGACCACGCATTATAATATCCAAATCAACTGAAGTTGAAGGCTTTTCTGCCACCTTTTCTTTGTGTTCTTTTACAATATGTTTATTTTTAGTTGCCAATTCATCAGAAAAACTTTAAAAATAAATTAGAAAATATTTAATAAAAAGAAACAACAAACTCTAAAAGGTCCAAGCCTCTAATCTTTTCGCCAAGACGAAGTGGAATTTTTGGAGAATCACTAACAGGCAGAGCAAAATCCTAAAAAATTTTTTTTAATTTCTAGGGAGGTAAATTTAAAGGTAATTTGGTGGAGATCGAGTAGGGGATGTGCAAGGTCTGGAGTTTTCTTGTGACCAGAGCCTGGACATTTTCAAACGTTTCCAAGGGGTTCCTGAACTTCAATCACAATTTAGTGAATTCAAAAATTGTCCAGGCCCATTTTGAGTTCCCAGAGATTTTCCATTTTTCATGCCAAATTTTATGGATTCGAATATTGTACAGGCCCGGATTTATTAATACTTTCAGTCTTTAGATTTATAAATAACCTTTAATTTCTTGCTTTCTTTGCCAGAAATTGTTGGCCTTTTCACAACTCCTCTTTTCTTCTTTTTGCTTTTCACTTTCCTTACTTTAACCGACTTTCTTGTAGATTTCCTATTTTTTGACTTTTTCACAGATTTCTTTATTGTAGACTTTCCTTTAGTTGATTTCTTCTTTAAAGACTTCTTTTTCCCAGACTTTTTTGTGGATTTTCTTTTCGTCTTCATTTTCTTCTTTTTACGTTTGCCTGAAGGAGGCATCTAAAATTATTAAATTAATTAATTTATAAAATAATTAAAACCTCCGGCAAATTAAATTCATTCTCATCAACCGAGTCATTATTCAAAACAAAGTCGTCTTCAGAAAAATGACCAGGATCAGACATTTGGACCCTTAAAGCTTTAAAGAACTAGTTTATTATAAAATAGATTTTTCAATTATTTTGGGCAATTAATTTACTCTTTAGTTTGTTATAGATTTTTACAAGGATTTTTAAGCCGAAAACGGCCTCGATTTTTAAGAAATTCCGGGACACGCCCGAAACGGCGCGGGCCAAAACGGCGCGACCGAAACGGCGCGACCGAAACGACGCAGGCCGAAACGGCGCAAAGCCAAAACGGCGCACGGCCCAAAACGGCGCAAAAATTTCCCATAAGCTACATATTGTTACGTGAGGTTTAGCTCGAATGGTGATCGTATCTTTTGGTGATGTGGACAAAAAATAGCAGGTGTAAAGGTCCACAACATCTTGTGATAACAGAGTGATAACAAAAATTAAGAGTGATAACAAAACTATTTAGATCGTATACTTACTAGTAAGTATAACTGCGGGATTCAGATAGTTCCAATATAACTATATTACTAGTTAGTTTCCCCTATAACTACATATATTACTAGTTAGTTCCCCCCTAGAACTATATAGTTATCCCCATATTACTACTGTAACCAACTAGACTTTAGTTATTTTTATTCTGGTCGTTGATGTCGGAACAGCCTTCACCGTTGTTGTAACAACTTTTCTCAACGTCTGAACGATCTTCCACATTGTTGGAACAATTTTTCCGTAGTGCGCAAAACCTTATTGCAGATTTTAAATAATTCGAAGTCAGTGTACGCAATGGTGGATAATGATCGATCACTAAGGTCAGATCGATAACAAATAGGTTGATCATAGAGATCAATTAATCAATCTCACAGTTGATCACATGATGATAACACGATTAATCACTATCACTGTGGAGTTTAGGGTTTGCGCCGTTTTGGGCCGTGCGCCGTTTTGGCCTTGCGCCGTTTCGGCCTGCGTCGTTTCGGTCGCGCCGTTTCGGTCGCGCCGTTTTGGCCCGCGCCGTAATGGGCTGTACCCAGAAATTCCCTCAGAATTTTTTATTGGGGATAAATTGTCATTTTTATTGTTAAAAAAACATTATGCCAAATTTATAAAATATTTAGTAGATTTAAAACAAAATCTTTATGATTCAAGATTAGAGGTCGGCAAAAATCGCATTCCCGGGATCCCACATACGGAATTTTTTTTCTTAACCGATGCGGGACGGGATCCCGAGGGATAAATCCCGAAAAAATCCCGGATCCCGAATGATCACAAAAATCAAAAAAAGCATCCAGGAAAATCCCTACGGGGTCCCGTCCCGCGCCAGTCTCTATTCAAGATTCGGGATATTTTTGTTAACTTATTTCTTTTTTATTTAAGCTTCTAAAAAAATATTTTCCAAATCTTATAGCATTTAATTTCGTTTTAAGGGAAATGATTCAAAGGTTCGGGAATTTGTCCAAAGAAGTGCTCAACACAATGATCCATAAAGCAGTAAAAGAAAATTTTCCTCAAAAATACAAAATTAAAGAAAAACAGAAATCTGCGATAATTACAGCATTACAAGGATATGATACTTTTATTCAAATGCCTACAGGTTTTTTTAAAATTTTTTTTTTGATTTTTATGTTTTTTAAGGTAGTGGGAAAAGTTTGTGTTATCAACTTACTTCTGTGTTGGATGGAGGTGTTACTATTGTTTTTTCTCCTCTATTGTCTTTAATTAGAGATCAAATGGTGAAATTGCAAGGAGTTGATGTGAGTAGACGTTTTAAAGAAATTTTTTATTTGATTAGTCTTATTTTTCTGAAAATTTCAAAAATTATTGTTAGGTGGAGTGAATACAAGAGATCGAGATTTTTGAAAAACCTGGACCTGTTCCTGACCTCTGGGTTTGATTTATTGACCTGGGCCGGATCCTGGGCATGTAGTCCAATAAAAACCCAGACCCAGGAAAAACACCAGGAAGGCCAAAAAATCCCTGGGCCTGGACTCTGGGCAGGAAAAACCCAGGCCTTTGTCCAATCCAGCTCGATCTCTAATGAATACTATCTCTAAACAAAAAAATTTTCGTCTAAAATTTTTGGCAATTTATTTTCTCGTTATTTTTATTGGTAAAAAATTAGAATCTCTAAAATTATTTTTAGTAAAGGTACAAAATTTAAAAAAACTGTAGCAGGGCCGAACCCAACCTTCTCCGCATCTCTGTGGTAACATTACTACTAACTACAGCGCCCGCAAAGTTTTTTAATTATAAATTCATTCATATAAATCCTGGTCATTCAGATGCCTGAACTTAAGCAGTTTTAGAATTTTTTGTCACGGTTCTCGCTTGAAATTTTTCAAATAATAAAAAATTAATTTTTCCAAAATAATTAATTTTTTAATAATTTTAGTACAAAATTTGCTGTATAGGCTTTGATTTGGACGAAATTAATAAAATTTTACGAACAGACTCTCAACCTAATTTCAATTTACTTTTTGTTACTCCAGAAAAGGTTTATTTAATTTAAATTTATTTTTTAATTTATTTTTTTTTAATTTTAGGCAGTAAAGAATAGCTTGTTTATGCCGTTACTTTATAATTTGGATAAAAGAAAGTTGTTGGCCCGATTTGTTTTTGATGAGGTTTTTCTTCTGTTTTTCAGGGAATTTGATTACCTTCCGTTTTATTAGTCACTAGAAAAAAATGTGCAAGAAGAATTATTTATAACGAATAGGCTGCCATAACCTAAAATTTTAATTTCCAGACCAAACTCGACCCGATCGAATTCGAGATTCGACCTGGACTGTCTCGATTTCGAAATGGACTGTTTTTTGGACTGGATTTTAAAACTTTTTTGTACTGTTTCGATTTTGAAATAATTCCGGGATTCGAAATAAATGTAATTGAACTCATATTCTGACCCGGCACTCGATTATCTGTTGGAAAACAAAACCCATAAATATGAAAGAGAATTTCCTGCTCATTTTTTTCTAGGGACCAATAAAGCAGAAGATACCAAGAAATATTTCAGAAATTTTTTCTTTTAGAATTTTTATTTTTCTTAATGATTTCCCCATTTTAGGCTCATTGTGTTCACTTTTGGGGCAATTCTTTTCGTCCAGATTATCTAAAATTGGCGGAATTGGTAAAAAGATTTAGACAAACTCAAGAACGTTCAAACGCCACAAAAATACCAATTATGGCCCTAACTGCTTGTGATTCTAGAGATGAACGGGAGAAAATAAATAAAATTCTTGGAATGGACAAGGATTGTAGTCGACAACTTTTGTGAGTTTTTTTTGGTTTGCTGGGAGTTTCTACTAGAGTTCGGGTCATTTTACCAACAAGCGAGGTTGCGAGTTGTTCGACCTAAAAACGGTCGAGACCGGGTTCATTCGTAGAGAATGTGCCCTTTCTAGCTTTTTTGAGCCGTTTTTGCCCGTTTTTTGATCTGGCCAGGATCTGGCACATTCTCTATCGAACGAGCCCAGTCTCGACCGTTTTTAGGTCGGACACCTCGCAACCTCTCCTTGTATGGTTTAGGTCAGTGGGGTTTCGGGACTCTGTTATTTTTAAAAGAATCAATGTTCCGGGTTCTCAGGTTTTATTTTAGCCTGGAAATCCGTGCTTTGATCCACGGAAAAATAGGTATGCTCAAATCACAGCTCGTAGACGTACATTTATGTAGTTGAAAAGTTATTTTCTAATTTTATATTTTTCTACAGATCCAAAAGCATAAAACAACGTAAAAATCTTCAATATCAAGTTTTGGATAAAAGAAAAATAAATGTGGAAGAATTAATTAATTATTTTTTTGAAAAGTATCCTTCTGGTGTTGGAATAATTTATTGTTTAACAAGGTTTTTTGATTCAAAAAATTTTTTAAAAATCAATTTTAAGGTTAGAATGTGTCAAATTGGCAAAATTATTTGGAGATTTGGCTCGCCCTTATTATGCCAAAATGTCAGAAAAAAGAAGGCAAATAAATCAGGATAAATGGATGAATGGGAAAATAAGACTTCTTTGTGCTACTACAGGTTTTTTCTTTTGATTTACTGGTATTTTTAGGATTTTTTTGAGGATTTTTAAAAAACGGGTTTTGCTTTGCTTTTTAATTTTTGGGGTTACAAAAGCATGGGTCCTTTCTTCAGAATTTTATTTTGCAATATGTCCAGTCAGGGTTATTCCTTGTCGAGAGGATGAGTGAGGGCCTTTGGGAAAATTTATAGGCAGATAGCGCACGGGAGATGTGACAAGGAATTTTTAAAAAATCTCAGATTCACCTACTTTCGGGGACGGGGAAATACTTTAATGGGCATGATGGAATACTTTGAATACTTCTATTTCAAAGACCCGTGTCTTATCCACCTTCTATTCAATAAATTTTTAACATCACACACAATTAATTACAAATTTTCCATTAAGCTTTCGGAATGGGTATTGACAAAGAAAATGTTCGTTTTGTTGTTCATTACTCAATCCCTCGTTCTTTGATGGAATTTACTCAAGAGAGTGGTCGTGCTGGAAGAGATGGAGAACCTTCCGAATGTATTCTTCTATACGATTTTAATGATCAATTTAGAATTTTACGAGAAATAAAAGGTTTATTTAAATAAATTTTTCTAAATTCAATCGAACCTCTGACTCACAATTAGGGAATGAGGTATGTCTTAAAATGGACTCTTGGCAAGGAGATTTTTTCAAAATGGTCCCAACCACTTTCGAACTTCTTCCGAAAGTGGATGGACCATCGAGCTTTCCAACTTCTTCCCCTAGCAACTCTCCCTTATCTTAAAATTTAGAATTGAGGCTTATTTTGTATATGCTGTATTTTATAAGAGTTCTGATCAGCCATATAGCTCGGAATAATTTTCGGAAGGGGAGGGGGCATTTTGAAAAATGTCCGTGCCAAAGAGCCCCATCCTGTCTACGTACCTGGCTTTGATTGTATTGAAGCTATTTTAAAATTAACAAATTTTTAGAAGGATTTGAATCAACGTCTTTCAAACAAATTAAATTAAACAATCTTTTAAAAGTATTAAATTATTGTGAAAAATATTGTGATGACTACAACAAAAATAATGAAGAATTATCTTCATCAATTTTACCTCCAAATCGTTTTGCAAAAATTAAAAATTTAATTGAACCTTTTAACGAAAAAGAAATAAATATTGTCTGTATTATATTGGAGAAAATTGATCAAATTGGAAATGTTAAGCTGAAAAATTTATTTCAATTTTTTGAACAACAAAATTGTTATAATGAGGTTTGTGGAGAATTTTTAAATTTTTTTAAATGGGGAGTTTAATTTTTCTTTTTCCCATACTCTTTCTTGGTATTGCTTTTTGAATTTTTAACTCAAATAAAATGAAATCTTGATTGGGTGAAAATATTCTGACAACTAACAATAAGACAAAAAGTAATTTTAAAACAAAAAGTAAAAACAAAAACGGGAATTCCAAGAAATAAATTGCTGATTTTCGGGAATTAGGTCGTCTAAATCCTTGGGAATGGAGTGAAAATGTCTGTAAGGGTGTACGCATCAGGGGGATTTAGCTGACCAGATTTTCGAAAATTGAGACGTCTTTTGGCCAGGGATTCAGAAATCGTTAGTTAAAGTTATCGAGCATTCTCGTTCCTGATTCCCGAAATTTTTTTTGAAAAATTGGGGGATTTTTGGTAATTTTTTCACCCTCTGTGACAATTAGTTCCCTTGTACAAATATTAAAAAAAAATTTTCTTTTTTTTCAGATCAACTATGAAAAAATAATTCGTCAAATTATTTTGTGTGGTTATTTACGTATTTCTTTATTAACAAATTCATTTAAACGTCCATTACCTTTATTAAGTATTTCTTTAAAAGGATTTGCTTTACTTGAACAATTTAAAATTTTAATTGAATCGAAGGAAGAATTTATAAAATTAAATAAAGAATTGGAAGTATTTTTAATTAAAAATAATAATGAAATTGAAGAAGAAGAAGAGGGGGAGGAATTAGCTATTAAATTGACTAATAATTTGGATTTATTAGAAAATTATTTTGTTGAGAGAGACTCTCGTTGTTGTTAAAATCAGGCTTGGTAATGGATATGGATATGAATACAGATAAGTTCAAAATGCTTGCGGATATCCATCTGTACCCGGATACGGATACCAAAATTCGTGTCCATTACCAAGTCTGGTTAAAATACCTTTGTTGTTAACAGTCAAACCTTAATTTAAAATACCCCCTTAAGTGTTGAAAAAAAATGTATCTTATAATGTGGGGTATCTTAAATTTGGGTATCGCCTAATATTGAGAGTTACTACTTTAAATAGGAACGATCTCAAATTAGTGGTATCGCTTGGTTAAAGGAGCTTACCAACCCGACTAAATTTTAAAAAATCGAATCTTGGTTAGGAGGTTATCTAATTTTGGGTGATACCTTATATTAAGGTCTGACTGTAATTTGTTGTTAATATTAGTTGTAAACTCTTCTAGATCAAAATTTTCTGACCATTTAATGATTTTTTCTAAAGTTTTTTCTAATCCCTCTTTTAATTGTTATATAGAAGATTTTTATTTAAATTTTTTGAATAAATTTTTATTTTACTATAACCATTTTTAAAATATATTTAAGTAACATGTAATTTACTTGAAAAATTTTTTCCTAAAATATTATTAAGATAATTACACAAAAAAGATTGTTAAGTGGCTGCTATAAGTGCATGCACCGCAGCAAGTACTACATATTTTTATTTTTTAACTAGAATGACATAAGGTTGCGTTTTTTTCTACCTTTTATTGATTCTTACTATTCTTTCGTGTCTTTTACTTGTGAGTGATCTTTCAAAATTGTTAGAAACATAAAGATTTGACCATTTTGTGCTCTGACCATTTTACTGATAAAATTTTTTAACGGACCCACACTCAATAAAAACACTAAATTTATACAGTCTAATTCTAATTAATTAAAGTCAAATGAGTAAGGATGGTGATAATGTGCTCAACTTTGAAAAGGTTTCTAAAAATTAAAAATTTGCCTAAAAACTTGCTTGAAAAGCATAAATTCTTTCAATAAACCCCCTATTAATTTGAGGCAATGTCACAATTTTCTGCCATGTTTCCAGACTTGGATAATCAATTGATTGAATCAGTTCTGAGAACAAATGATGGAAATGTTGAAGAAACTATAGAAAAATTGTTAGAATTAAGTTGTACAACAGCCAGTACTTCTGGTATTGATAAAGTCTCAAAGAGAAATGAAATTAAAAATGAGCCAAGCAGGTTTTGATCTTTTTGAAATGTAGTCGAATTTTACTTGTAGGTCACACTATGAGTTAAGAGATCGTACTTAAAAATGATGTAAGGATGATTCGCCTAGAGCATTTAAAACGCTTAGGAGCGATCTAAAAGGATAAAAGAGAAAGCATTAGTCTATGGGGACACGCCCGAAAGGCGTAGTGACAGAAGACCCACAGACAGAAGACCCAAGGACAGAAGACCCACAGACAAAAGACCCACAAGAAAAAATTTTTAACCAAAACTTAAGAAGAAATTTTCTAAAATTTTTGAAAAAGACTTGTCTATTTTTCTAGGCACAAGATTTTTGAAATCTCTAGACACAAGATTTCAAAAAATATTTTTAAAATATTAAAAAAAAATTTTATTCCAAAGTTAATCAATAATGTTTGATTAATGAAAAAGTGGATTGAAGAGTCGGGTGATTAATTGGGATATGTAGGAATACGTGGGATTTAGACGATATAGGGGTAAAACCTCAAATCCACCGATGTCTATTCTTATCCATGAATTGTTTATAACAGGAACCGGGAGAAGGATACTCCGATATCTCTCTTTAACAGAAAATCGGATATGTCTGGGGATGTAAAGGGATGTAAACAGATTTAAACCTTTTAAGCTTTTTTACTTCTACTAATCCGTTTTTATCAAGCGATATCCCTCCATCTTACTCATAAATAATTACCTAATCTCTGCTAATACCAATAATCCACGACATCCTTGCATATCTCCAATACCCTTGACCACCTCTTGTATTAGTTAATCTTTTATCAAGGGGTATTAACTTAAATCAAGGGGTATTAAGTTTATCTTGAATATCCCTTGATACTAAATGTCCCTTTGATCTACTTTTTCTTTTCAACGTCGCAGACAAAAATTTTGGGAATTTTGAAAGGGCAAAAATCAATGTTTCTACATTTTTAACAACCTAGGTGAAAATTCTTTGAATTTTGGAAGGCTAATTAGCTATTTTTATATCTGACAATGAACCTGATCAGATTGTTTTTTGACACGACCTGGACCAGATTAAAAATCCCGAAAGTCCGGGAAATCAGGATCCCTTTCGTTAAACAAGCTCCCTTGTCATTGGGACAAGATTCCCATCGTTGGAACAACTTGACCCGTTTTTGGAACAACATCCCCCATTGATAAAATAACATCCCCGTTGTTGGAACGACTTCCCCGTTATTAGAACAACATCCTACATTGTTGGAACAGCCTTCCCGATTATTGGAACGACCTTCGCTAATATCGAAACAACTTTTCCCGTTGTTGGATCACCCTCTTATTATGGAAAACTAATAAAATTAACAACATCCCTTGCGCCAAAAGTTATGCACAATAAAACTGAAAAATAGTTGTGGGTCTTTTGTCTGTGGGTATTCTGTCCTTGTGGGTCTTCTGTCTGTGGGTCTTTTGTCTGTGGGTCTTCTGTCCTTGGGTCTTCTGTCTGTGGGTCTTCTGCGTCGACACGCGCCCGAAATGCCGCGCGGCCATAATGTCGCCGAGCCATAACTTGCTTTAAGATTTCCGAATCTTTCCAAATTTAGTATTAAACGATTCCTCTCATCGAGCTAAAGATTAGTACCAAAATTGATAAGGGTCAGAATTTTTTTTAGCAAGTTATGGCTTGGCGACATTATGGCCGCGCGACATTTCGGGCTGTACCCTAGTCTATGCCTCGATGGCTTAGTGGTAGAGTTCTTGTATGTGTTGAGCGAAAGAGCCTAGCAATAACTGTAGGGAGGTCGAAGGTTCGAATCCTGCTCGTGTCTAAATTTTTGCTAAACTCTTTTTATGATAACTCGCAAGTGAGTTTCTTCAAAAAAATTTTTTTAGAGCTGAACAAGGACAACCATCAAGTAGAGACCCATGCGCAGATGACGAAAAAATTGCCTTGTTAATTCAAAATCGAGAATTTCTGAGTTATCTTCGACATGACCCCAACTTTCAAAAGGCAATTATTGGAAGACACCAAGCTTCTGCTAAAAATGCCCACCATTACCCCCTTCCACATGGCCCCCCTGTTTTACTTTCTTCCTCAAAATCGTTACTTTCCCCAAACAACCATCTTTTTAACAGAAAAGGAGGAAGAGAATGGGGGAATAATTACTCATCAGA